CTCTGTGCAAAGAAGGCAAAGTCTTCTTTGGCAGGGGATGCCTGAGATAACCTGTGTCCAGGGAGCTGGGGGCTCGCTCCACCGTGTTCTGAGCCCTAGAAGTGGAGCCAGACAGGTAGGGAGAGGCGAAGCTCCAGCCCGACTTCTAGGCCCCTGAAGGGATGACTAGCTCGACCTTGGCTCCAGGCTATGAGGCTCAGGTGGGAGGATGGGCTAAGGGCCCCCCACCAGAATCCAGCCAGAAAAACAGGGTGCCCTTTTCCTAAACCGCCCCCCTCAGGATGGGGATGCTGTCAGGCACAGTGGCACGGGTGCCCCCAAGGCATTCAGGCCCTGGCCCTCCCTGGGAGCAGCCCCCCTTTTTTGGTCACTGCTCCATGGGGTCTTTGCCAGGACAAGGAAAAGTTTTCACCCAGAAGGCCCACTACAATGGAAGTATGGATCTTGTGGTGTCTGGCGGCCAGGGTTGCCCACGGCAGTAAGTCCTGCCTTGACTTGCTGTGTCCACCTGGGCAAGATGCCTGGCTTGGCCTCGCCTCTCACTCACGGTCCACCCCACCCCACCACATGGCCTCCTAGCTGTTCCGTGAGGGGCGTGGGGGGGGGGCGGTGTTCAGCCAGCTCATTCCAGCTCCAAGGCCTTTGAACTCTCTATTCCCTCTGCCTGGAACACCCTTCCTCCGCAGTACTCTGAGATGGGCTTCTTCTGGACCCTTTCTGACCACCCCCAGCGAAGGACAACCTCACCACCTCACTTGTCTTTCATATCACCTTGGTTTTATCTCTTGAGCACAGTTCATGCCCATTTTCATATTTGCTCATTAAAAAAAATTTTTTTTTGAATGTACTGGATTTAGAGAGAGGAATTGGAGGAGGGGGGGAGAGAGAGAGAAGGAAACATCAACTTGCTGCTCCGTCCATTGATGCACTCGCTGGTTGACTCCTGCGTGTGCCCTGACCAGGAATCGAACCCATAACCTGCGCATATGGAGATGGCGCTCCAACCAACTTAGCTACTTGGCCAGAGCGTTTGTTTTTTTTTTTAACTGCCTGTTTTACTATTTCTTCCACCAGACCAGACTGAGCTCCGGGAAGGCAGGGAACTTGTTGGCTGGTTGCAACCCTAGGCTTAAGACCATGCCTGGCACAGAGAAATGTAAACACGTGTAGGTGAGCTCGGATGCTTGACTGGAGACTTGAGTGAGGGTGGGTTCTCGCCCGGCCTCCCTCCCACAGTGGTCACCTGATGAGATGGAGGGGCGGGGGGTGGAGCCTGCCCAGGGCTGGCATCCAGGAATGTGGGCCACATACGTAGGGAGCCCTTGCTGTTTCTAGGCTGGGTGTTGACCCAAGGGTGGCACCAGGATATATCACAACCCTTAAGGAGACTCACATCCCACTAAACAACACACGTGGCGGTGACATGTGATTTAGAAGCTGTTAAGTGCTGTGGGCAACAGTGGAAGGGAGGTGGTACCCCGCTGGACGGGAGGGATGGCATGTCAGTGGGGCTTCAGGGGGGCCTCGATGACGCGATATTTGAGCTGAGAACTGAAGGAGGTGAGGGGGAGCGCTGTGGGAACTTCTGGGGAAGAGCAGTACAGGCAGAGGGAAGTGCAAAGCTGCTGGGGCAGGACAGTGCGTGGTGCGTTGGACTGGACGAACAGTGAGGAGGCTCGTGTGGCTGGAGCAGTGAGTGGGGAGTGAGGGGCAGAGAGGGAGGAGGTGAGGACAGGGAGGGGACGGGGCAGGTCGTGCAGGGGAGGACTTGGGCTTTTACCCCAGGAAGGTGGGAGTCCTGGAGGGCGTGGGCAGAGCAGCAGGACCTATTCGGGTGCTCTATGGCGCCCCTGTTGGCTGCAAGGGAGAACAGCCTGTTGTTGGAGATGAGAAAACTCAGGGACACCTGGGGGAGGCTGGCGAAGCAACCCAGATGGAGACTGCCTGAACTAACTAAGGACGGAGCAGAGACGGTGGTAAGAAGTGGGGCGGGGCGGGGGCAGCAGAATCTGGACACACACACACATAACATTTTCCATTGAGGAGAAATTTTCCATGGGGGCCGAGCGTGATCTAGCAGAGGGAGGGGGCCTGACTCTTGGACTCACAGGCGCCCTCCGGTGGCTGCTATGGGGAGAACATGGACCGTCGGCGGGGAATGGGTGGGAGCCGGGACCAGGGTAGAGGTGAGTGCGCGGGTCCAGGCCTGTGATGAGGGTGCTGGGCCCGGGGCGGGCGGAGGGGCCATGGAGCGAGGGAAGTGGGCAGAAGGGCTAACAAGAGGGTGAGAGAGCGAAAGGACCCGGACAGCCGAGGCAAACCTCAGCCTCAAGTGGCCTTCTCCATAGCCTTGTGTCCCCGCTGGATCAACAGGCCCCTCAGCTCACATCCCACATAGCTTTGTAAAGAAATTTGTGAGGGTGTAATTTTGGTTTTGAGACCCCGTTGTCCCATTGGGTTGCATTTGTTCCAGTCACGGTGACCACCCCATTTGGAAGGTCTTTCAAGACAAGTTGCACATTGTGTCCCAACAGTAGCTAATAACAAAAGAACAACACTGAGTGCCCGCTCTGAGGCCAGCCCTCTGAGGTCACATCTCTGGGCCTCAGCTTCCGGTTTGTAAAACAGGACTAATATGAATAGCTGGCAGGTGGGAAAGGTTCCAGGGTTTTTCTTTTTTCTGACTTGGATCGCTTCCATTTTCTTGGGTTACAAAGAGCTCAGAGACCCTTGGCCGCACAGCCCTTGTAGGCTAATCCACACTGGGGAGTGTCTCAGGGCCAGGGTCCTCAGGGAGCGCCGGCTGCAGTGGAAATGTGAGGCCCTCTTTCACTCCCTGCTGTGTCCCCACCCTCCAGCCCCTCTGCCCCATGCCCTTCCCCCTCACGCAGATCTGGAAACAGGTCTTCATCCTCACCTGGGGTAGGGGGTGGAGCTCTGTAAAGATCCTCCACTGTCCCAAGCAGGGGCGCTAGGGCAGGAGGCAGGGTTCCAGGCAGGGCGGTGGGGGGACTGGATGCTGTGGACGGGGCCTGCGTGTGGTGTGGGGATGATGTCAGCCCCTCACAGCCTAGTAAATGTTTATGGGCCAGTGGGCCGGGGTTTTGGGGCTCCCTGGAGTCCAGCAGACAGCTGCCCCCTCCTGCCCCGTTCTGGGAGGCCTGGCAGGTCTGCTGCACATTGGCGGCCAGCCTGAGAGGGCGGGGTGGATGGTGAGCGCAGCCCCTGGCCTGAGCCGTCTAGAGGGGAAATCAAGGCTGGGAGGTAGGAAGAGGCTGGCTGGCTGTGAACCTTCCCTTCCTTCCCAGCGGGCAGAGGGTTTGGGCTTCGTGAAGAGGTCATGCGGAGGCCGAGGGTGCGCAGGAGAGAGGCACAGGCAGATCTGGTTCTGGTTGCAGTTCTGGGACCAAGCGACCAGCTGGTCCTCGTACAGGTCCCTCCCTGCTCCAGCCCTCAGTGTCCTCCATGCAACATTCCAGGCCTGTAGTGCCTCCTCTTAGAAGTTGTCATGCCTGCTGCCTCAGGCAGATTTAATAGGAAGAGGAAGGGGGAAGCAGACGGGGAAGCAGGAGCAGAACGTGGCTCCTCCGTGGACACCACAGGGCCAGGGACCTGGGGATGGCCAGGCATCCGAGCATGGTGGGCTCTGCCCTCTGCTGGCCACCACAGAAACAGACCAGGCTGGTGCCGGAGCAGAGGGGCCAGTCCCCCAGTGTAGGAAGGGCGCGTACCCCCAGGGTAGTTGTTTCCCTCTTCACTGAACATCCTTGAGGGACCTTCTCACCCCCCCCTCCCCGCCCACTTCCCAGGTGGGAAAACCGAGTACAGAGCCAGGAAGGAACCAAGTGCTGGGACTGGAAGGCAGGTCGGGGAGCCCAGCACCCTCTCAGGGCTCAGCCAGGCCTCTGGGCCCCTCCCCTCCTGAGCTCAGGGCAGTCTCCCCTCTCTCTCGGGGAACCCCAAGTCCAGGCCCACTCCAGCAGGCGTCCCCCATCACACGGGGTGGGGAGCCCAGGGGAGAGGGCCGGAAGAGACCTGGAGAGGCTACCCTGGGGCGATGAAGAATCGGCAGTGGGGGGCCGGCGGCTGGCAGTAGCAGCGCCAGGGCTCCGTGCTCTGCAGAGGTTTAATTTTAGCCACTGAACGCCCGCCTGAGTTATTACCTGGGGTGGACTGAGGAGGAAAGCAAGGCTCCAAGTTTGGCTTTCAACCACGTCTAGGTCCCAGAGGTGGGTGTGAGAGAAAGAGGAAGGGACAGGGAGGACACGGGTAAGGAGGGGGCTTGAGGGCTGCGACCAACCTGGCCTGCCCCTGCTGCCCCCGGGGCCACCTGCAGAGCCCAGACCCTGCCAGGGCACAACTCTGCTCGCCAGGGTGGGGTCGGGGGAGCCTTAATTTATGACCACCTCAGCGTGTTGGCGTAAGCCAGGCCTTCCTCTCCAGCTGCCAGGAAGCACTGAGCCAGTTCCGCAGACAGCCTGGGGGCCGGCCGGCCAGCGCCCTGGGGCTGCCTAAATCACCTCGTCTGACAGGTGGCGGCTGGTGAGGATGTTGAGTCTCGCCTCTTGTTGCTGCCATGGGCTCCTGCCCTTCAGGCGTGGGTGGCCTGTCACCCACCTGTTAGATGGGGACAAGGCTCCGGGGTCAGGCCATCTGGGGTGCTCTGCTCCAATGCCCAGGAACTTGGAGTCCGGCAGTGCGTGGGCCCTGGGTGTGTTTTCCACATGCTGTTGGCTTTGGAGGAAGGCCCAGACGGGGCGCTCTGCGCCCCACGCTGTCCCAGCCCCCACTTGCAGGCTCCTGCCCCCAACGTCCTCCCCCTGCCTCAAGCCCAGCTGACGCCTGTGGCGCGGCGGGAACGGGATGCCTAATTTCTGCTCCCTTCCTCACTTCCTCCCAAATCCACCGAGTCTCCCAGCTGGTGCAGGCACTGGCCTGTCACTGTCACCGTCACCCTGGAGGGCAGGGGAGGAGACAAGGGAGACACACACAGACACACACAAATGTACACAGAATTTAATTTTAGGGGTATTCCGACCTGCCCAAGGCTGAGGGAGATGGCGGGGCTTACACCTTGGGCTCCGCGAACAGCTTCCAGCCCTCCAACTGGCCCATCTTGACCAGGGCTGCCGTCACGCCCATGTACGCGCAGGCTGCCGCCCCAATCCCGTAGCTGTGCGCTGCGAGGGTGGAGAAGGCAACGTCAGGCACCGTGGGGCCGTGCCCACTCCACGTGGGCATCCCTCCCCTCGAGGAATTAAGTCCCCTGACTCTCTGACCTTGAAGGTGTGTGGAAAGAGGCAGGCAGAGGCAGGAGCATGGGCTGTGAGGAAGGGGGAAGGGGGGCAGGGAGACATTCACGCTGCCGAGCAGATGCCCTGATGGTGGGTCTCAGCCTGTGCCCCCGTCACGGGCACCAGGTCTTGTGTCTGCCCCGCGGTCTGTGAACCAAGGAGCAGATTGCTCCCGACCACCTGAAAGGTGCTGCCAAAGACAGGGCTCTGCTTGCTGTGTACGGGGCTCATACGCCTTCACAGGCTTGGCGATGTATGTCAAACCCAGACTTGAGCCAAGGTCTCAAAGCAAAGGCAGGATGTGTGGGCTGCCCCCTCTGTGGTACCCTCCCTCCCTGCCCAGCCGGCACCTTCCACGGACATGCCCAGTCTGCTGGGCCAGGGCAGTGGCCTGCCTGTGGCCTGAGGCTGCGGGAGGCGGGAAGAGCATGTGGCTCCACCACGCCAGCGCCAGCGGGGCCTGAGCCAGCCCCCTCCCACCAGGGAGGCATGCTCTGCTGGGTCCCAGGTGACCTCTGAACCCTCTCTGACCCTTCGTCTCTGCATTTGCAATGTGGGGACAATGAGAGTAGCACCCCCACAAGGCTGTATGTTGTCAACCAGGGCTGTGGGCACTGGGGGGAGGGATGGCAGTGCAAGAACCTGCACCTTCTTCTCCATGCTCAGGGCTGGTGGCAGAAACTGGCAGTTCCCTCAAATTCTCTGACAAAGTGCAGCAGAAAAAGGAGGGGGATATGGGGTGAGGGTGAGAGTCCAAGATCACACACAGAGAACTTGGTGAGAGAGGGAGCTGTACTGACATCTGGGGGAAGGGCATTCAAGCAGCAGGAGCAGCTTGTGCAAAGGCCCTGGGGCAGGACGATGCCTGGTACGCTGGAGGAACAGGGCCGAAGGAGCCCAGTGGCTGCAGGAGAGGGAGGGAGGGAAGGGGCGGAGGGGAGGGCTTGGTGAGGGCAGTGTGCAGTGGGTGCTTAAACAGCAGCAGGTGCTACTATTACTGTACTGGCTGGGGGCCGAGGTTCAAAAGCACTGGGAGCTTCCATCTGCTGGAGCAGGCGTCCCAGAACCTGGCACTGCCTGCCCCTGGTCTGGAACGGAACACGGAGGGAGGAGGGTCAGTGGAGGGCAGGGCAGGGAAGGGCCGGGGAGCTCACTCACTTCGTGCTCCCAGGGTCAGGCCTCCGGCGCAGCCTCCAATGAAGTAGTTCAGGGGGTCGTCGGGCTTTTCGCGGACCTGGGCACTGACGCACGACACAATGCCAAACACGGCACCAATGGCGGCTGTGGGGCAGACGGGAAGGGGTGGGCACTGAGTTAGGGGCCCAGCGGGGCATGACAGCCCGGCCAGTGCCAGGAGGGATCCTGAGGAGAAGCAAGATGCCCCCCAGGCTCACTCACCTGCAGTAAACGTGTACCGTCCTGTCCTGGCGACTCCCTCCAGGAAGGAGCCAGGAGGATTGAGTGCAACGCTGTAGGCGGAGGTGATCAGGCCTGCAGAATGAGGGGTACAAGATGGCTCAGACTTGGGCCTCTGCACTGAGTGGCCCTGGCTGGGGAGCAGGACGCTCTGCCACATGATAAACCTGCTCTCCTTTGGTCCCCTTTGTGCCCGCAAGGTAGCGCAGCTGGGTCGGGGACTTGGGTCTGCTGCTGCGAAGCCTGGGCTCTCGCCCCGCCTCCGGCCCTGGGCTTTGCTCCTCGGGCCTCACCAAGCCAGCTCCTGCAGAAGGCCTGCCCAGGTCCCTGTCACCCTCATGGCCCTGTGGCAGGGCAGCAGCCTTGTATGCAGAGGACATGAGGACAGGTCTGGGGCCTCAACGGCCAGGCCGCTCCCGGGCTGTGTGCAAGCCCGGCTGTCATGGCTGCACCCCTAGGGCCAGTGGCACCCGGGCCGCGCGCCCATCAAAGGCTCTACTCTCTGATGGGGCCCGGGGCTCCCTGGCCTAATGCTCCCCGGCAAAGCCGTGGCTCCTGGAACTGCCAACGCCTCCTCATGGCCACCCAGGGCCCCCACCTGCCCGGCAGGCCCGGCCTGGGCCTGCCCCTCACGCCTGGCTGGCTGCTCGCACCCACTTGGCCTCATCACTGCCGTCAGCCGCTCCATCTCTGCCACTGGCCTGGCCGCCCTGCCCCGACACTGGCTTCTGTGCACGAGAGGCCTGAGTCGGGGCTGGGCCTGGAGCTGAGCGCCAGTGAGTGGCAAGGGCCAAGACCGTCCTGGAGCATCCCGAGTGAACACTGATATGGGCTGACGTGTGGGTCTGGCGTGAGGCCAGGCCCGATACTGGCTTTTGGGCAGCCTCTCCCACCAGACCCTCCTCAATGAATGGCCAGACGAGCAGCTACCTGGCTGGCTGCTTGTCACTAGAACAGCCCAACACGGCCCCCCCCACCTCCAGTTGACCCTGCTCAGGGCAACAACGTACCTCTCTTCTCCCTACTGACCCCCACCGTTGCCTAGTTGCCAGCAGGGACCGCCTGGAGCAAACCCATTCCATCCCAGACAAAAGAGATATGTCACCTGCCAGGTGGCAAGCATAACCACCGCCCCGCTCACCCTTCTCAGGGCCCAAGGGGCTTGGTTGCTTCATGGGGGGGGGGGCTCAGAGGCAGAGGGACTTGCCTGTGGTCACCAAGGAGAGCAGCCTGGAAGCCAGGTGGGCCCCTAGGGCCATGGTCTACCCTTCACGGCAGCTCTGGGGAGCGGGTCTCACTCCAGCCCCAAGCCTCCAGCTTCTCATGACCCACGCACGGGCCCTTCCAGGCTGAGCAGTGCCTCTCACCCTAGCCTGGGCTCGGATTCAGCTCGCTGGGGTCGCTGTGGGGGACTTTTCACCCTGGACAGTGGGGCTAATCTTCGGAGCAGCCATGAGAAGGGCCCAGACTGCCACCTCACTCCCAGACGGGTAAACCGCGGCCCGGGGGCGACGGGAAGAGAGCCACATGGAAAGAGGGCTCTAATACACCTTCGATTCACACAATGTTACATGTCAAATTTACCCACTACAAAAAAAAGAGCGCTCTCCCGTGCTAGGCACTTGTCCACAGACCCTCCAAATCTTATTTCTCCAGACAGATCTCACGATGAGCCTGTGCCCTGTCTGACCCGCGAGAGGCTTGCGGCTGGGCCGGGGGAGTAGGGCTGGAGGAGTAGGGCCGGAGGCTGTGCCTGTGCCGCGAGCACCTCCCTCTGGGCGGGCGCTCTCTTTCGCACACGCGCCCCCACCCCTTGTAAAGAGACTTAATCAGAGGGGCTCCTGGTCCTGCCTTTGACCTAGTGAGTCTTGATTTTAGGAGCTGGGCCAAGAATGAGGGTCTTAGAACCCCCTGAAGCGGAACCACTGATGAGAGTCTGAGATGCCCCCAAACCCAGTTGCACAGTGAGCCCTGGGGGACACTTTGTCAACCTCATCCCATATGCCTGTGGTCCTGGCCATGCTGGACACAGAGAGTGCCCCTACCACCCTCCATGCCCTTAGAAGCCCTTGAACTGGGAGTGAATGGCCTGAGGGCCCCCTGATTAACCCCCGGGGTCAAGACCACCCCACCCCAACTCTCCCAGCAACCATCCAGTATGGTGACTTGCCACAGCCCATCCCTCCGGGAGCCGGCTCAGCTCCTCAGATGCTGTGACCCTCAGCACACGAGGATCTCTGACACACCTTTCCACAGCCCCCCATTATTACCCCCTCAAAAGGCCCCCATCCCAACCTTCAGCCTGCTCCCGGCTTCCTCTCAGCTTCCCACAGTGACCTCAGGACACAGGGCACATTCATTCAGTTATTCACAGTTACTGTGTGCCATCATTCATTCATTCCTCAGTTACTGTGTACCCACATCCGTCCATTCAAAAGTTCATTCACTCACATAGTTACTGTGTGCCCTGATTCATTCATTCCTTCCTTCACTCACTCACTCACTCACTCAGTTACTGCCTGCCTGCCTGCCTGCCTTCCTTCCAGAACAGTTGTGGTGGGCCTACATGGTGCTGAGCTCTGCTGGCAGTAGGGCTCCCTCCTGGGGCTAGGCAGCTCAGGAAAGCCAAACATGAAAACAGTCCTCTTGGGAGGGCTGAGAGGAAGCAGGGAATGAAGGCGTGGGTATATGGAGGACGACCTAAGAGCACGTTTAAGCCAAGTTTCATGTATTTAATGGTGCTGGCCAGTGAGAGCACACAAGCACACTCCCACTCACAAAAACCAGTGTTAATGTCTTTCTCAGTTTCAAAATCCCCTAAAGCAGTGATTTTCAACCAGTTTGCTGTGCAAGTACGCTGGCGTGCTCCAGGAACTTTTAAAACAGGCACTACCCAACTATTTAGTTAGGGACACTGACCTCTTTTCCCTTAAGACTGTCGAATAAAAAAAAAATGACAACAGCCAACACAACAATTGCTGTCCAATGTGAATGAATCAAAATTACACACACACACACACACACACACACACTTATTTTTTTTTTTGGCGCCAGCCTGGCAAATAATGTATTTTTTTGGTGAGTTACAACATGAAAAAGGTTGAAAACCGCTGCCTGAAAGCATCCACTTCTTCAAATCTCCCTGAAAGCACCACACGCCCCTCAGCAGATGCCCCTCAGCAGATGCCCCTCCTGCTTCAATTTCCTGAGACACAATCATGACCCTTCAGGCATCTGCCCATAAAAATTCATCAGAATAACTTTTCCTACAGCGAGCGGATCCCACGCTGTGCAGCTTTCCAGGGCCAAGTGCCCCCACAGAGATCCCACCACACACCCTGAACTGTCCCAATAACCTGCCACCCAAGCAGGCTCTCCATAACCCACCCCCAGGGACTCCCTCTTCAGCCCTTTCTCCTCAGGACACTCCATAAGGACCCTGTGTGCACACTCCTGGCCTCGTCACCCCCAGGAGATCAGCAGACCTGGATTGGCAGCCTGGCTTCAAGAGACGCTGGGGCAGTTAACACACCTCCTCGACCTTCAGTTTCCACCTCTGAGAAATGGAGATGCTAACGGTCTCACCAAATATGCAGATGATAGTGATTACTAATTAGGCCTCCCCAAATACAAACGTCTCCCAGGGAAGGCTCAACTTCTGCCAGGCTCCGTTTCAGGAGATGGAGATACGGAGGCGGCCAAAACCACCACATCTACTTCTAGGGGAAACTGAGAATGAAATGGGACCAGAAGGGGTGAGACTCAGGGGTCTCCCCTGCAGAGGAATGCCAGTGCTGTGGGCCCCCTCACACTCCAAAGGTTTGTCTTATTGTAGTCCATCACTCACTTCACCAACGAGCTCCTCAGCAGCCCTAGGATCCCTCTGGTGGGCCCAATAAAACATCAGACGTCCCTGACTACCCAACTCTTCTGGATCCTATAAAGACTTCATCCCACTATAGAACTTTCTAAAATTTCTGTACCCTCTCAGTAATAACACATAATCCCCCCCACCAAATAATTTCAAAGTTACCCCGTCGGAAAGTCTCATGATGCTCCGCAGCTCCTTTGACCCTGATAATGTCCCTGTTCCCACTCCACGATTTACAAAAAGCCAAATTCCACCACCTAGACAGCTCTCATAATCCCAGTGCCCAGACTGTAACATGTATCACGATCTCCAGGTGCCCTGCAACCCTACCAGACCATCCTCCCCGCTCCTCCCCAAACGTCTCTCACACAAGAGTTCCCCATGACTGCCCCCAGACACCCCGTCTAGGGCCACGTTCCATCTCGCGAGATTGCCAGCTCCGATGTGACCCCCCTTGGATAGCTCCCACTGACCCTATGACCTCCCTGCGCCTTCTGAATTAGTCCGAGCCCCGCAAAGTCTATTTCATATAGGAGCGCCCCAACGTTCCAGGGTCTCCCCAGGCACCCTGGCAACAACCATATGCCCTCCGCCTCGAGGTCCCCAGCTTCCCACGCCACCCTCGAATAGCCCCCAAGGGACTCTATGACCTCCCTGCACCTTCCGCCCTCAGGGCTGGGCAGCCAGCGCTTACCAACGGCACCACTGATACTGGTGCTGGCGTAGGCCTTGCGGTGACACTCGGTGCCGTCGGGGATGTCCCAGTACCGCTGAATAAGCTTCTGCGCCATGGCTAAACACCCTAAGCTCCGAACTACACACCCGGCAGCCCTCGGCGGCCAAGGGCAGCCGCTCGCTATCGCGAGACTTCCTGGGCCGCGCGCGCAGCACCCCTTGCGGACGGGCCCGCAACAAGCGTGCAACTTTATTGAGTGCCGCGACCACGGACACGGGCTGCGCGCACGCGCCGAGTTCGGAACTGGCGTAGGGGAAGAGCATGTGTACACCCAGCCCATTTCTGGAGGAGGATACTAAGGCCAACCAGGATCAGTGAAAGCAGATTCCATTAGTTCTGGCTCAGAAGGTCCTAGGTTAGGAATGGTCTGACTCCAGGAGGTGGGGCCTAATCTAGGGGCTGCACTACCATAGTTACCAGGCATATCGCCAGGCACAGGGTAGGGCTAGGACGGGGCGGGACTGAGTTTGATCGGAGCAGTTTTTAAGTATGGGGCTGGGCAAAGCGGGAATGTGACCTTTTCCAGCGCCAGACTCTGTGTGGGGGCCTGGCCACGCACTGTGGCCTCTCCCCAGGTCGGAATCTGAACCGCGTGCGATTATTTTGGGGCGTGGCCAGGGTCAGGGGCGGGGCTTAACGGGAAAGGGACCTACCCTAGAGCTAGGATCTTAGAGGGACGTGGCCTGTGCCCAGCTTGTGGCTTGTCCAAGTCCTGTGCCAGATGGACTACCTACTACGCTTGGGGGCGTGGCAAAGATCAGAGCCATAATTTACAGGGGACTTGACTAACCCTGAGCTGCACGATTGCCTAAGGGGCGTGGACGTGGCCAATCCTCTGGATCTGGGAAAAGTGCGGCCGATCCCGGAGACGTGATCAGGATTGGTCAGTCGCAGGACCCGGACCAATCCTGGTGTTAGCTCCCTAAGCGGAGTGACCAATCCCATTGCCAGAGCCTGAACTGTGCGTGCCTCCGGAGGACGAGACTTGGCCTAAGGGGCGGGGTTTCGAAGTGCCGTACCCAGTCAGAGCGTTTGGGTTTGAGCGGGACACCACCCAGTCGGCTGCGGCCAATCGCACCGAAGTTTTGAGCCGGCCTCTGGGGGCGCGGCCCTTCCGGGCGGCCCGGGCCTGAACCTTCGCGGGGGCCATGTCCGCGCCGCCGCCCCTGCAGATCCGCGAGGCGAATGCACACCTGGTGGCCGTGCACCGGCGCGTTGCGGAGCTGGAGGAGCGGCTGGACGCGGCGGAGCGCACGGTGCGCGCCCAGGCCGAGCGCCTGGCCCACCACGACCAGGAGCTGCGCGCCGCCCTGGACGAGCTGGGCTGCGCGAAGGACCGGTGAGGCCCGGGTCCCGCCAGGAGAACTTCTAGGAGGAGGTGGGCGGAGGCGGAGCCGAGATTGGAAAGGGAACGCTGGCAGGGGGATCTGAATACATTCACGCGGAGGCTGGACTACTGGAGGGATTGGAAAAACAAAACACCAAAAAGTTTGAATTAGTCATCAGCATGTAAAGTGATGTCACAGACCTGTGGATTTTTAAGTTACAAGTTTCCCACAAGGCAAAATCAGCTGGTACTGAGTGGTGCAGCGACCACTGACCTCCTGGAGCAGATATTGGGAGTCAAGGCAGGTTCTTGAACAGAGGAGGATGTGATCTATCAGAAGTTTTTGAAGAGTCCCTCTAGCACCTGACAGTTGAAAGGGATGAGACAAGTGTCCAGAGAGGTACTTGGGCCCAGGTGGGAAACAATTCAGAGCTGGTTGGATTCATTCATCTGTACTGAGCACCTACTGTGTGCCAGACACTGTGCTGGGTACTAGGGCACGTCTACACAGCTCTGCCCTTAGGCAGAAACATCACTAGGCAATTACAGCATGGCGTGATTAGAGTTGTGATGGAGGTGCACACGGGGTTCTGAGCGGATGAAGAGGGAAGGCTTCCTGGAGGAGGAGCTATCTAAGCCTAACCAAACAGGAAAAGATGTAGGTGAAGAGGGAACTGCAGGAAGAGGTAGGGGGAGCCATGAGTTTACATTGGCTAGGTGTCTTAAACAACAGATAATTAACATCATTCTGGAGGCTGGGAAGTCCAATATCAAGGTATTGGCAAATTCAGTTCCTGGTGAGGACTCTTTTCCTGGCTTCCAGATGGTAACCTTCTTATTGTGTGCTCCGTGGCTGGGGGGTGGGGGGATTGGGGGCGGGAAGGAGAGACAGCACTCTGGTCTCTTACAAGAGCACTAATCCCATCTTGAGGATCCCATCCTCGTGACTTCATCTAACTTTACCTTTCAAAGGCCCCCACCTTCAAATATCACACTGGGACATAGGAGTTCAACATACGAATTTGGGGAGGCCACAACTGTGATAACAAGGGGAGAGGCCTTGAGGCAGTGGTGAAAAGCATGGCCTTTAACTTGACAATGATGGGAAGCCTCAGAGGTCAGGAGTAGGGAGAGGAACCCCTCTGGTCCCCTACTACCATTACTACCAAGTTTTGTCTTCCTGCCAGCGAGATTGCGGCTCTCCAGGAGCAGCTGCTGACCTCCGAGGCCACTGTCCACAGCCTGCAGGCTGCCGTGCACCAGAGGGACAAGCTCATCAGGCAGCTGCAGCCCCGGGCCGAGCTGCTGCAGGACATATGCCACTGGCGGCCACCTCTGGCTGGGCTGCTGGCAGCCCTGGCTAAGGCCGAGCGCCTGGGTCCCCCGCCAGCCAGTGACCCTGGACACCCACTCTCTGGCGAGCCCAGTTTACTCCTTGCCAACAGCACTGGGGAGGAGGAGGACAGGGACAACCTCCAGCCAGCACTGTTTGGGACCACCGTGTGAGCCCCAGAGCAGAGATTCCAGAATGGAGACAGAGGGCACCTGTGGAAACTCCCCACTGCTGTGGGTGTCCTGGGTGGGGGAAGGGTGCGCCATCACTGTCCCGGAGCGAGCCCCCTGCAGAGCCATAATTCTTTCTAAGCTTCAGACCTGCTAAAAAGTCAGGTTTCCAGGGGGAAGCCTGCAGACCAAATGAAAAATGTTTAGCCCAGACAATTTTTCTTTTAAACAAAACTTTGAACCAATTATCTTTGTTGAAAAATTGGCGATGTTTACACACCAAAATCTGGATACCCGGCTTCAGACTTGGCCATGGCTGCCTGGATCTGAATCCAGAATACCCTCTTTAGACAGATTGTGACTTAGGAACCTCCTCATCTCTCTTAGGGCAGATGTCGGCCCCGAAGCAACTGGGTCTGAGACTTCTCTTTCCCTAGTACAGGCAGATGACATAAAGTTCCACATTGTTAGACTTTTTCTTCCCTCTTCCCTTCCCCCCCACCCTGATTTTTGTTCTTCCTGAAGACAAACATCCTCCATCCCAGACCAGGATTAAGAGCCTCAAGCTTCATGCGGTTTTGCATTAGTTCTCTTGAAGACAAATTTTTAATCCTAGATAGTCTTTTTCCCAACTCTGCCCTACCCTCAACCATGAACCCAGAAGGCAGCGCATGGGCATGTGAGACGCTGGCAGCCGGGCTGCGCTGCCCGGGAAACTCAGGCATCCCTTAAGCTTTTCTCGGTAGCGTGCCGCCTCAGCGCCGTCACACTGGCTGCTCCCTCTGCCCAGGCTGCGCTTCCCCCAGGTGTCATATGACTGGTATCTTGCCAGTCAGGTCTGTGCTCAAATGGCACCTCCTCAGAAAGACCTTCCATGACGACCTAAATTACCCCCCGCCCCTTCCTGACCATAGCATTTATTTTTCTTTAGGGAACTTCTTACCAACAGAATCTAAGCTCCACAAGGGCAGGGTGTTTGTCCTGTCGCCAGAGCCTGGTACGCCCCAAGACCCCAGTAGGTACAGGGTGGGTCTGAGGGCCCTGAAGGGAGTCGGATCCCAGCCCTTCTAATGAGCTCCTGCCCAGCCCCCACCAGTCCAGCTTTTGTAGTAAGCAGCTGGCTCCTTTTTTATAGCGCCTAGAGAATCTATTTTTTTAACGCCTTTTTTCTACACCACCCTCCCTTGGCCTGAGACATTCAGGGAGTTTTGCTTTCTATCAAACCAGGGAACCCCATGCCTTTCTTAGCCCATTCAAGTGCCCAGCCTGAGCTGTTTCCCCTTACTCAGGAAATTGTCACAGCAGGAACTGCCGTGGGGCAGGGCCCACTGCAGCCCGGAAAGGCTGGCGCCCATCAGCATCCTCAGGATGGTGCTGGCTGCCTGCCTGGCATCTAGCACTGACCCTTCCATGTGTAACAATAGCCCCATTTTCTCTGAATGAATAAGAAAGCGGGGCTGTTTGTGTGAGCGAAGGCAGGCTGGGGCCTGTCTGAGCTCAAGAATAAACAGGGTGATTTGTCGGCGTTGGTCCTTCCTCCTTTCTTCCAGGTGTGGGGGCTGGGGAGGTGGCCCCGTGAGGATCACAGCCCAGGGTGGGGCCCTGCTGGGTAGGGGCTTGTTAGAGTCACTGGAGCTTGCGCCGTGGGCACTCCACACACGACTGTGTCTAGTCTTTGCAGCCACCTATGGACACAGGCTTGGCCCACTTCACAGCCGAGGCTCAGAGGTGAAGTAAAAAGACCTCTGGGGGAGGAGGGCCAGGGTCACTACCAATTTTTGGAGGAGTTATTGTTAAAATTCGAGTTCTCTTTAAGATGTCAAGCAGAGCTACAATGATTGTGGTTACATTTTCCATAGAAAAAACAATCGGTTTTAACATTCGTTAAAAAATACAATGCAGCATCTCTCTGCCTACACAAAGAAATTTGGACTCCAATAAGCCATTGGAATTTGTGCAGCAGAATGTCGCTGCGGCTTCTCAGAGCCGACAGTGTGACGTCAGCTGTGGCTTCGGTCCGTTGTGATTGGTTTCTGACGGCAGCAGGGACTCCTGACCACGCCGCTGTGCTGTGTGCGAGGCCAAGCTTTGGAAAACCTCTGATGGTCTCTGGGTCTTTGTAGGCGGGGAGGCCCCCAAATGGGGACCACATTTTAAGTCCTAGGAAAGCAACGTTCTTTTCGATCCTGCTGATGAGCGTGAAGCTCTCAGTTGGCAAAGCTGTTCCAAGTCTGGATCGAAGGCGCGATGTGACGGTGGCCTTGGCTCACCAGCCTGTCATAAGCGAGCCCATCAAGTAACGTTAGAGAACTGAAACCAACCACCGAAAGGCCCCTGTGGCAGAAACACCGTAACTGGCCCCTAAATAACGGCCAGGAACTGCTTGGTCGGACTTCGCTCTGCTGTGTCCTGGCTCAGCTGGCACTGGTTTCAGGACCTCCCATTGATGTGGGCCTGAGCCACCTCCAGTCCTTTTGAACTCAGATCCCTCAGCAGCTTTGGTTGCTGCCCCGTGAGAAGGGGTGGGGGGCCAGTGAGGCCCAGAGAGGGGAGGGGACCTGCCTCACGTCACACAGGAACTAGGCCTTGAGCCTCCTTCCACCCAGGACACTGTGGTCCCTGCAGGGCTGTGGCTCACCTCTGCTCACTGTGACCAGAAAGAGACCCCCACGGCCCACCCTGGCTCTGGGCCTGGCTCTGTCCCAGGCCCGAACACTGCAGCGCCAGGAGCGCGCAGCGCAGCCCGGGGCAGGCGGGCCAGTGGCAGCACTGCTGTCTCTCCCGGCCCCGCCGCCTGGCAGTGTCAGGGTTACAGCCAGGGCCCCTCCCAGTCTCCAGAGCCACTGTCCCTTAGCAACAATCCTACCAGGCAGGACGCACTGCCAACACTGGACAAAACAGGCAGCAGCCAGTGGGGCAGCCGTCTGGAGAACTCCAGGACAGACAAGGCCAGGTGAGCGAGTAGGGGGCCCCCGGCTTGGAGCCTGGCTGGCTGAGCAGGAAACCCACTTGCCCGTCCTCTCACCCAGCTGCCCAGAGAGCCTGGACCTAGCATGGACACGGTGGACGCCACCATGGAGAAGCTCCGGGAACAGTGCTTGTCCCGAGGGGCCTCTGGCATCCAGGGCCTGGCCAGGTGAGCTGTCCCCTCACTCCTTCCTGACCACTCAGCCCCAGGGACCACTCTCCAATCTGCAACTCTTGCCCCTCAGGTTTTTCCGCCACCTGGACCGGGACAAGAGCCGATCCCTGGATGCGGGGGAGCTCCGGCGGGGCCTGGCTGAGCTGGGGCTGGAGCTGGACGTGGCTGAGGCAGAGGGCGTGTGCAGGCGCTGGGACAGGGACGGCAGCGGAACGCTGGACCTGGAGGAGTTCCTGAGGGCGCTGCGGGTGAGGCCGGGCTGACTGGGGGGCAGTGGGTGCTTAGAGTTCCTTGTGGGGTTACCTGAGCCAACACCCAGGAATTTGTCACTAAGCGGTGCCTGCTCGGGGACCCCTTGGGCTCTACACTCTATGCCTGGAGGGGTTGGGGTCCCTCAATCATCACTCTCCCCACTTCAGCCCCCCATGTCGCAGGCCCGGGAGGCGGTCATTGCAGCTGCATTTGCCAAGCTAGATCGCAGTGGAGATGGTGTGGTGACCGTGGATGACCTCCGGGGGGTGTACAGCTGCCACAACCACCCCAAGGTGCGGAGCGGGGCGTGGACTGAGGAGGAGGTACTCCGCCGCTTCCTGGACAACTTCGACTCCTCCGAGAAGGACGGGCAGGTAGGGGCCCACGGGGTGCTCCCACCTCCTCCTGCCCTGGCTCTCCACACCTGCTCAGAGGCTGTCTGCCCCCAGGTCACCCTGGCCGAGTTCCAGGACTACTACTGTGGTGTGAGTGCCTCCGTGGACACGGATGAAGAATTTGTGGGGATGATGACCAGCGCCTGGCGACTGTGAGCGGTGCACACTCAGCTGGCACCGCTGTCGCACAGGACCCCCACCACAGCACCCCCGAGTGTCCAGCTGGGCAGCCGCAGGGGCGGGGGCTGGGAGGGCTGGGGCCACGGAACTGGCTGGACCAGGTCTCAGAGATCCTTGCTTGGTCACCAGGCCTAAGTGGAACAAAGGCCCCTGGGCTTCCTGAGGCCACAGCAGATGCCCTCCCCCCTCAACCTCTGTTCTGCGGTGATTGCCCGGCCCTGTTGGCACCCCATCCCCCGCTCCTCCCGTGTGGTCCTGGGAGGCCAGGAGGCCCCTGCCAGGGTGTGTGCGTGTGGTGGGGGGTGAGAAGCAAATGGCTCTTCTGTGAAGCCAGGCTCTGCACAGCTCAGTGGCAGGTCTCGGAACGCAGCTGAGCTTGGGGGCCTGTCCGGGTGTGGAGTGTGGGGCAGGGGCCCAGGGCAGCCGGCAGGTCAGGCTGCTTGAGGGGCCTTGCCTGGGAGGCAGAGGCCGTGCCTGGCCAGGCCCGCCAGCTTCCTGATGCCCCTGGGGCACACAGGAGGCCAGGGTATTTAATTAAAAGATTTAATGTAGTTCCCAAATACATTTCATGTGACAATCTTACATAAATGTTCCAAAACACATGGGCATTGTCTGGTTTTACTTGTCACTAATTGGCTAAGGCGTAAGCAGAGAAGTGTGACCAGATCTGCTGGGGGGCCTTTGGTGTCTTCCCACGGCTCAGGCTCAGGCTGCGCACGCTCGCCCCAAGGTGTGGGTGGCAGAGCTGTGGCACCCGGCCTTCCCCCTCCCTGTGAGGGCGGGGCTGGGCAATTTCTTCAGCAATCCCTCAGGACCCTGTGCCCAGGGACTTTCTTTGCAGGCAGGCGGTGCCCAGCTGGGCTCTGGACCCTGCTCTGGGGTGGGTGGGCACGGCACCCGCTCCTGTGCGTGCTGGGGTGGTGGCCTGTTGTCTGGAACCAGTCCCCTGCCCCTCCTCAAGAAGGCGCTGCTTGGGACTTCCTCTGCCTGTCATGGAGATCCCAAGCCCTGGATGGTCTTGGGTGCAGTGATGTCCAGGGCTGGGCAAGGAATGGCCAATAGCAGGAAGCAGGCAGGTGCCTGGTGCCAGGTGACCCACGTGATGGGGACGAGCAGGAGGGGAGGGGTGCTGTGTGCTCCCGGCTTTGTCCCCAGTGCCTGTGGGAAGCAGTGGCCTCACCGTCAGGTCCCCACTCTGGAAGGCACCCTATCCCTGGGGTCAGGCCCCCGCACCAAGATGTCACCCTTGGGCCTACAGCAGTGGGTGAGAGGATCTAGGAAACCAGCCCCTTTGCACCCTCCTAGGCCCAGCGACCCTCTTCTGGGTAAGTTCTCTCCAGGCATGAGGCCTGCCCCTCAAAATCCCATGACAGCCTGGAGGAACCCCAGGTGGAGAACAAGTGGGGGCCTGTCCCCTGCTCCCCAGTAAGGCCCCAGCACACAGGCTGTGACCAGAGGGAGACAAGGATGCTCGAGCTGTGCCTGCTCAACACACAGGAGCGCCTTCACCTAAGAAACCAAAACAAACCTTTGGGGGGGAAAATTGAAAATATACACCCCAAATCAGAAGGGGGTAAATGAGATAAAGATAGTAGTTAGCAGAATACCCAGCAGAGCCAGCGTTTACACTGTGGGGGCAGACCCGGGAGCTGGGCAGGCAGCAGGGGCCCACAGGTGTGGTGGCATGAGGGGGTGAAGAAACCAGGCGTCCCAGTCCCAGGGAGAAGCCGTGACAAGTCTTAATGTGCCATTTCAATTCAAAGGGGGGAGGGAAAAAATGTTCTTTTTGTTTTGCTCATCAATATGATGAGGTCTCATGTCCCAAACCACATTCAGGCAGTTCCCAAGTCTGCTTCTGAACGGGCCGTGCGGATCCGGACTGCGGCCAACCCATCGGGGAGTGTGGTTCCCAAGCCCCGCGCCTCAACACTGCCGGGGAGGGGCGGGCAGGTGGGTGGACAGACGGACAAAGCAGCAGGCTCCTGGGTGGCCAGCTCCCGGCGCTATGTGCTTCCGGCCGTCTGCCCGTCCCCTTCGTCACCAGCACCTGTGGGAAGCAGTGGCCTTGCCATCAGGTCCCCACTCTGGAAGGGACCCCCAACCCCCAGGATCAGGCCTCCACACCAAGACGTCACCCCCGGGGCCAGCGGCAATGGATGACGGGGCTTAGGAAACCAGCCACTCCATGCCCTTCAGGGCCGGGACCACTGGCTCACCGCCTCCTGTGGCCCCCGATGGAGCCAGGACGTCGTCATCGTCACTGTCATCCTCATTGGATGGGGCCACGCCAGGTTCAGGAGCAGGTGTTCTGACCTCCTGTTCCTGCTCCACGCGGCTGCGCAGGGCCAGGATGCGGTGGTGCAGGGCCGCGTACAGCTGGCCCGTGTCCTTGGAGCTGGCCTGGGGGAGTGGGGCAGAGGGAGTGCTGGTTACAAAGCCCCCTGGGAAGACTGACCCTGGGGTTCCCCTCAACCTGGGACCACAGACCAAAGCCCCCACAGCTTGCGGCCAGACTAGCCTTCTGTGACGGGGGCGCTCCCGCCTCTTTTGTTTTGAGGATGGGCCCATGCTCTCAGGGCAGTGCCGAGGGGCTTCCTTCCCGGGGTGGCTCGGGGTCACTGCCCTGGTCGGGGAGCCCGGGCTGTCCCCAGGATGCTCACCGAGATCAGGAAGACCTTCACACCCTGGTCCTCGGTATCCATGGCCGTGATGCGAATGCTCTTCTCACTGGCCTTGTCGATCTGCATCTGGGCCCATAGCTTGGTGTTGAGGATCAGCCGCAGGCTACCCTGGGTCCGCATCACTGCAACCAACAAGGCCACTCAGCCCTGGTCTCCAACCCCCGCCCAGTGGCCAGCTGGGACAGACACAACTTGGAAGGAAAGCAAACCCCAAGGGCAAAAAACCCCATGCTCCTCCCAAAGTCCGTGAAAGCCACCCACGTGCCGGGGCTGGCCCGGTACTACCACCTGGCTTCCCAGGCCCAGAACCACCAAGGCCACTAGCGGGGTCAGAGGCCACACATGAGGGTGTTTTGTTGGTCCACACAGCAGGTGCCAGGATGGCAGCTTCGTTGTGGAAGGCAGTGATTAGGCAAAAGAGGAGGCAAACTACAAGGAGGCAGGGCCAGACAGGGACATTTGTGGGCTGCACACTGGGGACACTCCCACTTTACCCGGCATGTGTCACATGGAAGTGACGCCCCCTCACTGTCTCTCATTCACAGGCCAAGTCCCAGCCCCTGCCCCGTGGTTTTCTTAGAAAAAAAGGGTTGAGGACGCCGTAACCAGCATGGCTCACTCGGTTGGGCATCGTCCCAAAAATGAACAGTTGCCAGTTTGATTCCCAGTCAGGGGACATGCTTAGGTTGCAGGTTTGGTCCCTGGTTGGAGTGTCTGCGAGAGGCAACCAATAAATGTTTCTCGCATCCACGTTTCTCTCCCTCTCTCCCCCTCTCTCTAAAATAAATAAATCTTTAAAAAAAGGACTGAGGATAAATTGTGCCCAGAGCTTCCAACAGGAAGGAGACAAACGCAGGCTACGGGAAGCACATGGGGGAGGAACACTGGGCACAGACCTTCCCTCTCTGGACGTGCATGGGACACCCCCAGTTCTACCCGCAGCAAAGCCCAAGGCCACGGTCAACTTGCCCGATTTGTCAGAGCCCACCCAGCCGGCCTGTGCCCTGACCCAATGGACATGGGTGACTCTCGCCTGCCTGCCAGCCCAGCTCTTCCCATTGCAACAGGCCTGGAGAGGATTAGGTGTCACCTCATTCTGGGCCACAGGTGGCCAAACAGCATAGGGAGCCGCTTGGGCCAACCTGGGGAGGCCTGTGGGGTCCTGGGCCCCTGCTGACTGGACCTCCCTGTGTCCTCTGAGCCTGGCCTGGCAAATGCAAAGTGCCCACCTGTGAGGCAGCAGAGCATCGGGCTCAGAGGGAAGGTCTGTGACAAGGATCAAAGACTGCGGGGTGAAAGAGGAGGGGACCGGGGGTGGGTCTCAGTGAGGGAGGCGAGGGCGCAGTGCGACAAAGCGGGCCCTGAGCCGCAGCCTGAGGAGGCGGGCGAGGAGCTGCGGGGCGGGAAATACTGTGCCCTCTCTGTCCACATACACTGGAACATTTCCCTAAGAAGAGATGGAAAAAGAACGGAGGGGATGTCCATGGTGGGGGTGGGGGTGGGGGTGGGTGGGCAACGGAGCCCGGACAGAAGGGTCTTTTTCATCCCTGTTCCAATCTTGGGGCCAATTCTGAAAGGGTGCAGTGTGAGCTACTACTGGGCCAGAAATTGCTGTTTCTGTAAAGGCCAGAGGACAATTTTAGCTTGGAAGGATTAAACGTGCACACATGCGCGCGCGCACACACTCACACACACCCGTATTTGTAATCGGCACACTTCTGGGAACGAGATTCATGTGGAAGACTGCCCAGGAACATTATTCACGAGAGAAAAATTAGGAACGAATTACGTGTCCATCAGTAGGGAAATGGAGACATACATTAATTGTCAACAGAACATATTAATGTAAGAGCTTTCCCAAACATTCATGTTTTTAAGACAGATTTAGCGACACAGGAACATGCTCACCAAACAGTGAGTGAAAAGAGCAGGGTACAAAGTTGCCCCATTTCCTTAAGCAAGAGCTACAGAACCGGAGCGGGGTACCACAGCATCATTAGTAGAGAGCTCTCTCTTTATAAAGAGACTGCAGTTGATGTTTAATTTCTTTTTCTGTGCTACCACAAAACAAGTGGCACTTTCATGATCAGAAAATAAGTTAAAAAACCTCTGAGTACGCTTACCCACTTTCACACTCAGAGAGTGGCAGGGCAGGCAGCTGGATCCTCTGGGTCAGGCCTCAGAGTGTGGGTACTGGGGGCTTTCCCATGGGGACCCTCTTCCCTGCTCCTTGGGCTGAGGGGCCGACTGGGGCCCTCGTCCTTCGGGGCCTTGGGAACTGCGCACCGATCCAGGCCTCTCCATAGGGGCCCTACCACAGCTCACCTAGTCGGGACTGTAATGTCCCGTCGTCGGCTGATGCCATGTCGTTGAGCCTGAGCAGCCCCCGGCCTCTCTCCACCCACGACTGCGAGGTCTTGTCAAAGACAAACAGCTTACACTGGATCTGGAACACAAGGCATCACTCTGGGTGAACAGGGGCCCTGGCTGGGGGGATGCCATTGCAGAGGGACCCCTGGGTGCCTCCATCTAAATCCCATGAACTACCAGGGTCAGTAAACTACTTCCTGGGGTCCACATCTGTGGCCCTTGGCCATCTGTTCTGCCCTCAAGCTAAGGGTGGGTTTTATACATTTAGGGGGTATTTTAAAAATTACCGAAATGCAAACCATAACCTACACAAGGAGAAATTTCATACCCATTAGAATGGCTACAACCATAAAGACAGATAATAACAGTTATTGGAAAGGATCGGGAGAAACCAGACGTCTCGCACACTGCTGGCGGCTGCTATGGAAAACATTTCCACATCTTGTGACTACACGGAGTGACTGCATGGCCCAGCAATGCCACTCTGAAGTATCCACTCAAGAGGAATGAAACAGTTGTTCACACAAGAACTTGTACATAAATGTTTACAGCAGCAGAATTCTATCACAGCTAAAAAGTAGAAACAACCCAAATGTCCATCAATACAATGGAGTATTACTCAGCTATGAAAAGGAACAAAGCAGTGATTCACACAGCAATGTGGATGAATCTTAAAGTAAGAGAAGCCAGAAACAAAAGGCCACACAGTGTGTGATTCCATTTATGTGAAACGTCCAGGACACACACGTCCACAGGGGATTCTTGCTTGCCAGGGGTTGGGGGAGGGGGAGTGATTGTTAATGGACACAAGGTGTCTTTCTAGGGGACAGAAATGTTCTAAATTAGAAAAACAAAATAAAAAATATTCTACATTAGATAATAGTGACAGCTGCACATCTGTGTAAGTATACTGAAAATGACCGAATTGAATGCTTTAAAAGGGTAACTTTCTTAGTATGTGCATCATGTCTCAATAAACTGTTATATTAAATAGAAAAAAGAATACCAACAGATAGTTTAAAGTGTGCAGATCATTATGCCAATCTCTCTTAACACGGATAGATTAAAAAACAATGCTGACTAGAGAAAGAAGTAGCTAGCACCTGCATTAAAAACTCCCCTGCACTACATATATGAGGTTTAGAGACACACGTCTGTGTGAAGAAAGGAGAAGCAGATGAAAGGGCACACAGACCTTGCCGCCCCAGGCCAGGGAGGGAGGCGGGGAGAGGGAAGGAGCAGGGTGCAGTGGACTGCATCTGTGATTCTTTTCCCCTAATAAAACAGCACAAGGTGCCAATGTGACAATATAACCACAGCTGTAACTCTGGGTAGCAAGAGAAGCCACGACAGTCTTGGAATCCCCTAAACTATGAGAATGTTTCAAACCAGAATCTTTTTGTTGGAAAACAAAGCAATACAGACCCTTCGGGCTGGTTAAGCTCTCACCAAAAGCCCAACCAAGATCCTGAAGGGAAGGAACTCAGGCCTCAGTCACTTCCAAGGAAGCCTGAGTGCCTGGCGGATGTGGGCTGAGCCTTTGGGGGCTGAACCCCCAGATGCACAGAGAGGCTGTGGGCTACTGTCAGCCCTCACACCTCCATCTAAGGGCCAAGGGGCCCACCTGTGGCCACCTCACCTGTAACACGTTGCTCTCTGCCTCCTCCCCGGTGATGACTTCCACTTTTTCCAACAAACACTTCCGTGCCGTTGCCTTGGTGTAGGCAGCTGCTGATTCGGCCAGGGACTCTGAAATGTTATTAGCTAAACAACATTGACTATTTACTTGGTTGGGGGAGAATGTGTACTTCACAGGAGACCAAACGGCCGGCTTGGCCTTGCGGGTACCAGCTACCCCAGGTACGCTCCGCTGGGACTTGGGAGTGGACCCCGGAACGTGGCAAGTAGTTTGGCCTCAGGATCTGTAGGGGGGCCAGCTGGGAGCTGCTGGCATGGATCCGGGTCTCCCATTTCCCATTCAGTAGGGGACAGACCTCCAAGAGGGCATTGAAGAGCAACTCCCCTGAAGGAAGAGGGCGACGGCCACCTCAACCACCCTACCCCGAGCCACCACTCCGAGCCCAGGGCCTGGCTGTGTTTAGATGAGCACGTTCCCTTCCTGCTCACTGAAGGCCAGCGCCATGGCTTTCTGGTTCTGCCCCAGCGGCTGGTCCACGAGGTTATTACTGCTGTGCTGAGTCGGTCCCTCCGTCCCTCCCAGGCAGGGGTGTGGATGGACAGTGTCCCATCACTTGGTGCCCCCTCCTACGAGGCAGCAGGATGGCAACGCACCTTTCTCGGGGGTGGCCTCCTGGGACGAGGACTCAGACCCGGACTCAACAGCTGAGTTTTCCCTGTTGGCATCTGAAGTGACCTCATTTAATTTGGGTGGGCTCTGCAGGAAAATGAGGGCACATGGGGAGGGGTGTGTGGGGGTGGTCCTGGGGGGCCAACGGCTAAGGAACAGAAAGCCCCGGGGCCTGGCAGCAGCCTTTGAAACACCCCTGCTGGGCAGAGGGCTGCCTTCTGCCACGGCTTCTCCTCTGCAGCTTCGGGGGCCCTCCCAGACCCGGCAACGGCCTCCGCAGCCCTTGCCGGCGGGGCGGGTCCTGGCCTGCTCCCCGCCCTGGTACCACACGACGATTCTCAAGCATCATTTGGTGTTAAAACCTAACAGAAAAGTGTCCTCACAGACCTGCCCTTGTGCATCACACATGAAACGCCCTTGGAGCCCCCAAATGGGGCCTCCTGCGACCTGGCCAGGAGGCATGTGCCACCAGCTCACATCACTCTGGGCTGCAGCATTCGCCTTCCTCTGTGTGAGGTAGTTCTTTGGCTATTTCGTTTAATAGAATAGTACTGATGCTTGAGAAAAGCAGCAGGAGGCTCCCTAATGTAATGGAAGCTGAGAAAAACACAGAAAGAATTGGCTGGGCCCAAAACAGCTCCTTAGTCGCACTGACAATGGACACAGCGGGGCTGTATTTGGGGATAAAAAGGGGCAAAGTGAGGAAGCATGTCAACAATACCGGAACCCAGCCCTGGCTGTGGTATGAGGAGAACATGGGACAGAGGGTCCCTCTGAGGCCACTGCACCCGTCCCCAACTCTGGGCTGCGGCCTCAGGGTCAGGTGGGGCTGACAGTCCTTGGCTCCGAAAGCGGCTCAGGGCCCCGGTGGCACGTGGCCTGATGGCTGTCACTGCAGCCAGCCTTAGCCAGGAAAAAGCATGGCCCGGGACCCAGGAAAACCTGTCTTAGGGTGAGGAGAGACAGTAAGTGGAACGCTGGCTCCTGGGGAGCAGACAACCACCCCTCCCCGCTCCTGGCGTCACGCCGAGTCTGAGCTGGGTCTTCTCTCTCTCACTTACCGCTGAAATCGCCCTAGTTTTCCAAGGGGTAACATGGTAGCCACACCCATGGCCCTGTGACCTGAACCGGGGGCTCTGGAAACCTCTGGGTCCCGGGAAGGACAGTCCCCATAGGGGCCACTCACCAACACGCGCTCGCTCATGTTCTGGCCAAATACGAATTTGTTACTCGTGGCATCGGCACTATTGTTCGAGTTCTCTAAACTGAAGAGAAGATGGGCAGTGAATTCAGGGGCAGAGCCTGGTGGGTAACAAGAGGCAGCGGGGCCGCTGCCAGACCACTGGGCTCTGCTCTGGACATGAGGTCCCAGGGACAGAGGTCACTCTGAGGGCTGGGCAGGACAAGCCCACAGAACTCAGGTCTGCCTCGGGTGTCCAGCAACGTCCACCGTTCGGGCCCCTCCAGAGCTCCACCAAGTGGGGAAAAGGAAGCGGCTGGAGGGCAACTGGGACTCGGGAGGCTGCTGCCCCACCCGCCCTGCGCCGAAGAAGGGCCAGGCTGGCTCCAGCTCTGGCTGCTGCCTCCTCTCCAGGCCTGGGTCAGGGCAGACGGGCGACCTGGGCCCCTCTGAGGCCGAGGCTCACCCGACACGACGCTGGGCCCAGGGCACACACCTGGAGCTGATGTACTGAAGGAAGTAGTTGGTGGCGCTTGGCGTGTCTGAGCTGGGGTGTCCGGCATCCTCCATGTCAGCTGCTTCAGTGCTCTCATTTATTAACTGGGAAGGAGAGACAGGCAGGCTCAGAGGACGGCGCGTTCCGGACCTCCGCAGCCCGGCCTGCCTGCACAGCCTCTCGGCCATGCAACACAGTTCCGCACGCAAATCCCACCAGATGTGCACACGGGGGTTTGTGTGAGCACGCTGTGCCCTGGCGCTGTAATCAGTTCCACAACCTTTTGCTTTTAATGGTTAAAGTATAAAAAACAAGTGTTCATAAAGTGTTAGGGCGCTTTTTCTACCTTGTTTAAAAAAAACAAAAACGCACACAGGTTGGCATCTTGTTAGCATTTTCATCATTATTTCTGTGCCGAGATCACAGAAGGCTTATAAACCTGGTGTTTAAGGCGTTTATGGTGAACATAAAAAAAAGCACTGTTTCTGGAGGGCTTCTTTGATGCCAGCTGCCATGCCTGCTTCCACACCCACGTGACCTAACGCACTGCTCCTGGGAACCTGAGGGGGAAGGACGGCCCTGGTCCTGTGAGCGAGGGAGCGCAGACTCCGAGGAGCTGGGAGGCCGCGGCCTGGAGTCAGCCTTCCTGCGGAGGGTGGGAGGTGGCCAAGCCCTCAAAGACCGCGTGAACCCTGGACCTCTAGGAGGAACTGCCCTGGCCCTAATGCCAAGGCAGCCTTTCCCTGCATTTGAGGAGCAGACTCAACCCGACACCTGGCCAGGCGCTGCCCCGAGTGCCAGTGGATTTCAAGGCCCTCCCTTCACATCCGTCCTCCTCCCTGGAGGGAGCAGCCCTCCAAGGGACTCATTATTTTGGCTGCAGGCAGGTGGTATCAACACCTATTTCTGTCTCTCACAGCATCTGTGCTTCCCTTGGACAACGGTATCATAGGAGAGCGCAGACGGCATGACCCGCTGTTTCTGTGCAGCGACCTGTTTCCTCATTTCAGGGTCTCTTACCCCCAGCATCGCTGACACTGGGGCTGGACTGTCCTGGGCACTGTGGGGTGTTGAGCGGCATCCCTGGTCCTCACACACTCAATGCCAGAAGTACCAACCACAGATGTCCCCACACATGGCCACTGACACTGCCTCTCCGTCCTCTAAAGGCGCTTCCTGCCAGGTGAGCTGCTGGAGGTGGCACGTTCTGTCCCTGTGGCTGCGAAAGGTCGTGCTGCCCGCTCTAGCCTTTCTGGAGCACGAGCATATGAGGCGCAGAGCTGGGACCCATGCCACTGCCAGTTGCCCTCCACCCGACTTGTTCCCAGGCTGGACCCACCTGCTTGGGGGGCAGCCGGGAGGTAAGAGATACTGTTGCTCCCCTGGGAGAGGAAAGAATATCTTCCCGCCTGCCCTACTTTAGAAAAATAAGGTGATGGTTCTCAGTCAGCAGTGATTTGGACCCATGGGGAACATTCAGCACTATTTGGGGACAAGTGTGGTTGTCACAACTGGGGGGGTATACTCCTGGTGTCTAGAAGGCGGAGGCCAGAGATGCTGCTCAACAACTCACAGTGGTGCACAGTCAGGCCTCCAACCACTAAGTACAATTCGGTCTGAACGGGGCTGGTGCTGAGATGGAAAACCCTGAAGGAAACAAAAATCCCTCACTGGCTGCCTCTCTGTGCCCTGCCGCCAGGAGCCACTGCTGAGTCCCGCTCGGGGTGGAGGGGGTGGCAGGCGGCCAGGGTGCCAGAGCAGAGGAGTCCGGGAAGGACGCACCAGAGCTACTGGCTGGGCGTCGCAGGACCACGCCGTGACAGCCCGTGTCTGCCCCACCCTTAAGCAGCAGACGCCTGCGGCTGAACTTGGGGGAGGCGTGAAAAGAGCAACCCTTGGGCTCAACAGCTCACCCAGACCTCCGAGCACATACCTTAACTCTGTCCCTCAAGTTCTGCCCAAACACAAACGCTTTCTGTGCAACTTGCTCTTTTCTCTCACAGTTGTCCTCCTCAGAAGTATTGCTAGACTCATTTTTCTGGGGCTCCTTCTCCTAGTTAAACAGAACAATGACAACTGAAAAGAAGGGACATATTAGCCTTGACGAGCAAGCCGAGCCACCTCACTGCAGCACTGCGTGTGCCCTGGGGAAAGCCCCTGGGCTGAGGGGTACCCGGGGCGGGGCTGGAACCAAAAGGGAGAGCGAGGCAGGCAGGCCCCGGGCCGCACGGGGCGAGCCCTCGGCAGGTGGCAGCATGGGTGGGGGACGGTCGGTCCCCTCCAGCGCATAGGTGCGCAGCTGCCTGCTTGCCTGCCCCAAGACCCGGCTGCCGAAGTTCCCAAGAGGTGTATGTCACGGAAACAACTTTAGTTTCAGTTCCGCTAACTGGTTTGAAGGTGGGGGGCTCAAGGAAGTTTCAAAGTGGAATTGTGGGTGATCATTTTTCACCATTTGAGCCTGAACATCTGCAGGGGAACCGGGGTAGGGGTGGAGGAGGCAGAAGAGAACCTTCAGCAGCAACTTATCCGCTGAAGCTGCCGGAGCGCAAAAGACACGCAGATGCGGTCTGGCGTGTCTGTGAGGCGTGGAGCAGCACTGCAGATTAGATTCCATGTCTGTCTCCGCCAACCCCAAGGGCAGGTGCTTCATGAAACGCCCTTTTCCCAGCTGCTCTGCAGCACTACTGGGAAACGGATGCTTCTGGCCTCTATGACTTCAGAGCCCTGAGGGACTGTTTTTTAAAAACGATTTCTGAGCCTACTTCCGTTGGAACGGGCACACTTGTATGAATCCCCAGCTGCTGAGGTGGCGGGAACAAGGAGGGAAGACACTGCCCACGTAAAACGGGGTGAGGCCCTCATTGATGAAGGCCGCGCTACCAAGTGCTCCCCAGGACACGTGGAGCGGCACATTAGCCCGGGGCAGTGCAGGCCCCGTGGCAGAGCTTTGCTCATGGCACCTTCCTCTCAGAACCATGGAGACCGCTCCCCCGCCAAACTCTTGGCACTGCCAGCTGTGGTCCTACACTGACACGCGGAGCAAAGCCAGAAAGCGTGAGCACGGCACGTGGACACCGCTCAGAGCCGCTAACAGTCCCTGCGCTCGGCAAAGCCCCAGAAGTCTCCCATGAGGCGCGCTCCCTGCCTGGGCACACACGGACCTCAGAGGCTGATGCCTCGTCCGGCGGACTTCTCCGTGTGGGGATGCTGGGCGATGTCGATGTCGCAGTTCCCGTGCAGTCTGCTGGGACACTGAGCCCATTGGTGCTGCCGGCCGGGACTGTGGGCACAGAAGGACAGGGGGAGAGTTGTGGAGTTAGTGCTGCATCACCTCCAGCGTTTCCTTCTGCCACCACCTGGACCAGCCGTACAGTGGGCCTGGCGTACCACTAACAGCAACACATCCTTAGATTAAAATAAAACCTGAACCCAAACTAAAACCTCACAGAAGTGAGAATTATCTTATGCTTATTCTACAAAGAACTGTGTGACTTCAGTGTATTCAGAAGCAATACTAATGAAGGGGGTAAAAGAAAAAGAACAAATACTGGGGGAACAATTATGAGTTTTATAAAACAAGTTTTATGAATAGCATCTTTATTTTATGCATTTTTTCCTTTCAACAGTTGAGATTACACGACATGCAGCTTTAAATCTGGCTTTCACTGTTGAGCACTACATAAATTTTCTCCTGTAATTAAAAACTCTTCAGAAACAAACTATTTCCCTCATAGAGGAAGACAAAAAGAGCTCATTCACATGAGGAAAATTAAGGATTAACTGAAAACCACTGCCTATGTGGATGTAATGGAAATATGGTTTAAAAGTCGTATCTCAAGATTGGCAAGTAAAATGAAAATGCACGTGAAAACGACCCTTTCGGTCCCTGAGACTGCAGGGCTGAGTTCCGCCTGCACATGTGTAGGGGCGGACCGCGCCAGTCGGGGGTGGAGGCGGCGTTAACGAGGCTAGTGCGTGCACAAGGCACGTCTGCAGCAGCAGTCGGGCGCAGCCTTCTGCCTTTCCTGGGCTCCCCGGGGACAGCAAGGGTTGTTTTCCCAGCGCTCTCTGTATTTCTTTATTTCTATGTGCGTTCGGCAGATGTGAGCAAAGCCACCTGCGTGGCTGTCCCGGGCACGACCTCGGGGATGCCCTGCCCTGCCGTGCGAGCCGAGGCACCAGGGCTGCGCTTCTTACCGGCCTGTGAGAGGGCCTTAGGCTGCGGGGCTTGTAACACTGCCGGGCGAAGCACGCTCCGCTGCTGCTCCTTGGGCTTCTGGCTCGGCAGACCTGGGGACAGAGGTCGGTTTGCCCAGGACCCTTGGACCTCGTGGGCAGAAATGCAATAGCTCAGGCTCTCAAGGACTTTACAAGACAAACTAGACCCAGTGATCCACTTCATGTCCCTCACAGGCTACGCTCTGTAGGGAAGCACATTTTTTTAAAAAACCAACAATATTTTCTCTACAACTAGACATGCAAAGTCTGGCTATTGTTATTTTATATGTGATTAAACGGCATTCCCATGTAACTGATCATGTCTGTGAGTTAATTCAGTGAGTAGAGTAATGCTTTGGGGGAGCCAAGGGACACCTGTTCCCAGGTGCTGGGCTCAAGGGTCAAGCACAGATGTGAGGGGAAAGAAGTAAAGCCACGGGTGACACTCCAGGTCAGGATGCTGCTTGGGGGTTACAGAAAGGCACCCTTGTGCCTGCTTTTTAAAAATGCCACACTGAGAAAACACCTCTGCCAAACAAAACTCGGGCAAAGACCATGAAAGCACATTTCCAGCCTTCCCCGGGCCCCACTCACCAGCAGTGTGACACTGGATGGAGGCCGCTCTGCCAAGTGGCAGTAATGCCATGGCATACTGGGGCTAGAACGCTCCGGAGAGACAGCCAGAACCAAGTGAGCTATCACTGGGCGTGGAGCCCAAAGTCCCACACTAAGCCAAGCCTGTTCCCTTGCCATCTGCACTTCAGGGCAGCGAAGGGCTCACAGGTGGGAGCTCCCTGGGCTGACAGGCTCTTTAAAGTGGCTTTCCAGGGCGCACGTGTTGGGTAACAGCCAGAGCGCACTGGTGGGGCTTCCTTAGGTAGCTGTGCAAACAGACGCTGCACGGAGGCCTGGAAGGGTATGAGAAAGCCATTCCACTCTCCTCCACCAAGGCGGGCACCTACCTGCGCTGGGTGCCTGGCCATGGATCAGTGTTGGTGGCTTCAACCGGAACCCACTGCTCTTTTCCTCTACAAGCACAAGACAAAAGATAAAAGCAGGCCTGCGTGGGGAAGGGTAGCAAGGCTGGAAGACAGCGGAGGCAGGAGAGGGCTGTGATCTGGACCCCGGTGGCCGTGGGCCTGGAGAACCAGGGGTATGATTCCAAATTGAAAGAGAAAAGCAGAAATCCTGCCCAGCCACCAAGGCTGTAAGGCAGCCCGGGTGAGGAGGCAGGGGCCGCGAGAAGCGCGGCTTGGGGGCAAAGTGCTCACTATGGAAGACCAGGGGGGTGCCAGATGCGCAAGATAGAAGTGAGGGTGACCACTCCAGCAAGGAGCCTTCAACTGGAGGGTGAGGACAAGGTTGGTCAGCCCATGGACCACCTCACCTAGAGGCCTGCCAGGAGCCTGAATGCCATGCTGCATTTGCAGGCCCTGGAGAATGTCATAGGGCCACCGAATGAAGGTCCCCAGGGACCCATCTCCCTTTCCCAGAAGACTTGTCAGGGATGCACCTCTAATCAGGAGGTCTCTGTACTACCAGCAGATGTCTGGGAAATGAGACATATTTTCTGTGGCGAGAGATCAAGGGTGGCAGACAACAGGCTTACTCTCTTTCCAGACATGCCTGGAGAGCTTTGCCTCACTGCTTAACGAGAGCACCGGAAGGCCCGGGAGAAGGAAGCAGGGCTGTTTGTCCTGGCCACGTGCGAGGAGGCGGGTGCTCCCCGAGGACTAGATTTCAGGCTGACAAATACAGGGGTTCCTGGGATATTCAAAACCTAGTTTCTGCTCAGCTGTGTGTCCACAGATCCCTTAATCTGTGCATCTTGGTGACTCTGCCCATCTCGGAAGGGGGCGGGGTGGAGGGGACAGTTTAATGCAATCCATGGCAGAAAAGATCATCACATAAAAAGCCTTGTGACCCCAACAGGCCAGGTCTGTGCCTGGGGAAGCAAAGGGATGGCAGTACTTTGGGTCACCAGAGGAGCCTGGCTTTTGTGCTAAGGTCCAACCTATCGGAAAATACCCTTGTCAGGTTGCAGGGAACAAGATCACTATACAAAAATCAGTTGTGTGTTTCTATATACTGGCAATGAACAACCCAAAAATGAAGTCAAGAAAATGATTCCACTTAACGATAGCACAAAAGGAGAATAACATACTTGGGAATAAATTTTAAACAAATGAAAACTATAAAATGTTGTTGGAAGAAAGTAAAGACTTAAAATATATGGAAAGATACCTCAAAATATCACACAGTATGTGATTTCATTTATGTGAAATGCCTATAACAGACAAACCCAGAGACAGAAAGTGGGTTTGTGGTTGCCAGGAGCTGGCAAAGTTGAAATGGGGAGTGACTGCTAAAGGATATACGGTTTCTTTGGGAGTTGATTAAAATGTTCTAAAATTAATTATGGCGCCCTGGCTGGTGTGGCTCAGTGGATTGAGCACAGGCCTGCGAACCAAAGGGTCGCAGGTTCCTTTCCCAATCAGGGCTCATGCCTAGAGTGCAGGCCAGGTCCCCAGGAGAGGGAGTGTGAGAGGCACCCACACACTGATGCTTCTCTCCCTCTCTTTCTCCCTCCCTTCCCCTCTAAAAATATATTTAAAAAATTAAAAAAAATGAATAATGGCGATAGTTGCACAACTCTGCGGATATACTAAAAAGCAACCAATTAAACCCTAAAATGACAACACATGCTTTGTCATGCAGATCAAAGTTTCAGGGAGGAAACAAAATCAAATCAGAATTGCAGATGAAACAGAAGGGCACTCTTCCTGTTGTCTACATGTTGGTGAGCCAAACTGCTTTCCTTGGGCAGAAACGGGATTATGGAAACTCGCACTGCTAGTAAAAAGGATGGAGGCCCCGGCCAGGCTAGCTCAGTTGCTTAGAGCATCGTCCTAATACATCAAGGTTGCAGGTTTGATCCCTGGTCAGGGCACATACAAGAATCAACCAAGGCAGGCATCAATAAGTTGGAAAAAAAAAAAAAATCAATGTTTTTTCTCTCTCTCTCAAAATAAATTTAAGTACATAATTTAAAAACAGTAAAAAAATTAAAACATACAAAAACAAAGCAAAACAAAAACAAGTGGAGCCCGTCGGGCTTCTAAGGGTCTGTGTTTGTGGACTGATGTCTCTCCCGTAAGAGTCTAGGTCATAAAAACCACACTCAGGAGAATCAGACAGAATAGAGGGGAAAACATGCTGCTAGGTGTTCCTTTTTAGAAGGAAAATAGTTACATTTCCAAAGCTTAGAGTTATTCAGAAGGTGATTGGCAACATAAAAATTAAAACAATTGAGATAAAATTCACAATTTAGATAATTTTTTGAAGCCCTCAGAGCCGGCTCCGCAATGCTCTTACTGTGGCCACAGGTTCACGTCTACCACGGTGCTCTGCGCAGAGTCAATGCCACCAGCCACCGGCCCCTGGAGCTGACCTAGGCTGATCGGCGTGGGCAGTGGGCCCAGACACCGCTGCTGCTGGATGTCCACTAACTTTGGGCCTGGTGCCAGGCCAGTCCTGAAGATGCACAGGAAAACTATGCTGAATACTGCAGGGAACAGATGGACAGACAGACAAAGCGTACTGCAATTCCACTGGCAACTGGGACTCGGGGCAGACGGGGCCCAGAGCAGCAGGGAGGTGTGCCTGCAGGGCAGTCAAACCTGGACAGGCCGCAGAAACTCCCTTTTCCTGCAATATGGTCAGGGTAGAACAAAGTGGCACCGCATGGTGGCCAGAGCCCTGTCATGCATGCCAGGGCCACGGGGGCGGACAGGTGGCTGCACTGGTGTCTTCTAGAGGGCGCATGCATGCCCATCTGTGAGCTTGCTGGGGAAGAGGTCTCTCCTCTGGGGCTGCCTTTGCCCTCTTCCAAATCATGTCTGAAGAAACAGTTCCTTTAAGACAGCTTCCTGTTCTGCCTCAGGAAGATCCCAAGTGATTTCTGAGGGAGCAATGCTCATCCGAGGAACCCTCAGATTTAAAGTGAACTATATCAGACTTTAACCTGGCGCACACCAGAGAGGGAAAGGGTCCAAGGCAGCAGCCTGATGGGGCCGGGTCCTGTGGAAGGGCAGTGCTGGTGCAGGGCGAGAGAGGGGCTTGGCTACGTACGGGGACACAGCGGTGGGTAAACGCACCGGGGGCAGAGGGAGGCGGGTTTTGTACAGTTAGAAAGGAGAGGTAGAAATATGAAGAAGGAGGCTAAGACGAACCCTGTTGGTGCTGAACTGGAAGTATCCACCAAACCTGGGGTTACGCACAATGCAGACAGACAGGGATATGGGAATACGGGTAACTGTAAGCATGCGTATGCAGCTCGGTATGTGTTCCCAGTCTGGGCACTGAGAGGTCCTGGGAGCAGTGACAGCCCAACGGTGGGCAGCACACGGAGACCTTGGTTCCCTGAGACCATGCTCCATGAAGAAGAACTAACACCCCTTGGAGAAAAGGGGAGAAGGTGATGAGCCTGGAACCTCTTGTTATGACAGAAAGTAAAGAAAGTGCTTAATATGATGGGGACCTGGCAAAAGGACCCAGGAACCTGACTTGATGGGGCCCATTGGCTACATCTGGAATGACTGAAATAAATTGATCAAAATAAAATCTGAGCATTAAATAAGTACCGATAACCACCATTATAAATCCACTAACTAAAACAGGAATCTGTAAATCCATACTGATACAAATCACTAAGTAAAGGGGGGGAAAAGAACGCCATTCTTTACAGTAGAATGCCAATTAATGAATGCTGGGGCAAAAACGGGGCAGAAAATCTCCATCTGGCCATCATCGGCATAATAATTAATTCAAGCAAGAAAACACCCATGGATGCCAACACAGGAGGGCGAAGTGAGAGATGATTTCCTCAGGCCTCAAAATCTCTCTCCAGAAGACAGCCATCACAAAGAGGGAAGAAACAGAGCAGATGCCTAACCAAGGGGTCCACGCCAGCCCCGCCAGCACGAGCAGGGGCGCACTCGGAAGAGCACGGCTGCGCTTCTGTGGTTCTCCATCCAGTCCCAAATACGCAGCTTGGGTGGACACACCCCAATGGAAGGACTTCTCCAAAATAACTGGCCTGTAATCTTCAAGGTCACAAAAGTCAAGGAAAGAATGGGGAACTATTCCAGATGGAAAGAGAGACATGGGATATGTGACTGGAATCTGGTGCCTTTGCTCTGTAGAATGCATGGAGCCTCAAGGTAAAGGGGTAGGGAAGTGTTTTATAAAAAATTTCCCTAAGTCTTAGGTTTTTTCCAAACTAAGGCTAAAAAGTACAAGGCAGCAGGCAGGCAAAGGTATAAGAGGTTCACTTTGCATAGCAGATGTTGCAGTCTAATATGATGGGCTCACTGCATCGGGTACCAGGGACCAGCGCTACATCAGGGCCTCTGACGGGGGACTAGGCTGCTCCCTTCCTCATGTTGGCGCCGCTCTGTGCTGCTAGGTAAGGGTGTTGGGGGCAGAGACAGGGCAGCGAGGCTGGCACTCACAGACCTCAGAGGTGATCATGAGACTCACAGAGAACTCCATGGCATGAAGGGATCAAGACGCATGTCTTCAGTGACTGATCCCTAAACCAAAACAGGCTCACAAAGGCCAACACTGCCCCTGCAGCTCAGAACATGACTTGCTGTGCAAGTGCCCCGGGTACAACCAAAGACTTTTAACAACCATGCTGCTCTTCAGTACTGGGAAGGGGGTCAACTCCGAACAGTTTGCTTTTAGAGTCAGAACAAATTCAACTGTTTGAAATGCTGCCATCAAATCAATCCTCAAAGTTATAAAAACTTGCCCCTTCCCTCGACATCGCTCTTGTGCCAGAATATGAGTTATCTCACAATGCTTTTGAAGTCGGGAATGAATTTATATAAGGCAGGTTGGGTTACAGAATTCGGGTGGTTAAACTTGCTCATTAAATCTTTTACGAGGAGAAACTTTCAGGAATTATTGGAGTTGGTTCTCCTGCGAAAGACCAAAAAAGGAAGGCTCCATGTTCTTCAGAAGGGAGCAAGCTTTTTCCCTTCAAGTTTTAAAGCCGTGAATAAATATATGTATTTATCTGAACACATCTAAGCAATGCTAATTAATGTGAGCATTTAATACACAGAGAGGGGTCTGGGAAATTACATTTCACATTTGCTACCTTGGGGATGGTAGTGAGCGGGAAAGAGGCAGGCTAATTCAGTCTATGTATTTTTAATTTGCCTTTTTTAAATGATATAAATGTGTTACTCTTGTAAAATTTTGAAAAACTAGTAATACACCTCTTTATTCTTTTTCCAAAAAGGACGTAGAAAATTCCTCGTAACTAGGCCTTACTTACAGAAACAGAAGTAAAGGCTTATGAAGCCTCTTTCACACTGGATTCCGAATGCACAAGCTGAAGAGTCAAGAAAACATTTAGGCACTGAAAAAGAACCCTGATTTCAATCTGCCCACTCTTGTTAAGACATTATTTTACAATATCAACTGCTTTCATCCCAGGAAAACCCCCAGTGACTGGCCGTGAAAAGCAAAGGGATGTGAGGGCTCACCTGGTTCTGAGTCAGAATTGCCTGCAGATGGCTCGCAGAAGGTTGATGGCATAAAAACATTGTTTTTTGATACTGTCATCAAGGAGGTGCAGGCAGGGAAGGGAACAAGAGGAAAAACAGAGTGAGTAGGTGGGGCAGGCAGGCCCCAGGTCACCTCTCCAACCTGAGGGGTTGACCTCCAAGCCCCACTGGGCGCGGGAGGTGGGGTCAGCATTATGAATAAGGCCTTTACCACTCTGGACTCTCTCTACAGCAAGAAGGGGGTAGTCTCCAGCCTAATGGCCTCTGTTGATGTCTAGCAGTTGACTCTGGTCTTTCTGGCCACCTCTCTTGCCTGCGTTCCCCTGGCTTTTCCTTGGCACTCTGGGCCCCTGTAGGGGGCAGCCAGGAGGGCAGTGGGGCATGCCAGATGTTCTGAGTCTTTCCTGGGGCCAAGCCTTGATCCCTGCTCCCTGTCACCAGTTAAGGCTTGGAAGTGGGCTACATCCCCTCCCCCCCAAACCAGCTGTTTAGGATGTTACTGGAACCGCTCATCTTTTGATTTCACTTGAGAATTGGGAGCTGATTATCTCCTAGACCAACGCACTAGCGAGGAAAACCGTTTGGTGGTCCTTTGCCCCTTCAGCCTAGGGCCACAGCACAGATCACCTCGTCTCTTCCCTGCTGCACCTTCCTGGTAAGAAGTTATGTTCAGCAGTAGACAGCAAACAGAAGGGACACAATCATGGCCAGGAAGCGGAAGCTTTCTCATTCTGTAGAAACACTTGTGCCACAGGTGGAAAGACCCTTCAAAAGGATGTCCCCAGCAGCCTAGGCTGCAAACTGTCTGCACAGTTCCTTACTGCCTGGTGGGCAACTGACAGTGCACCCATTCAGGGGGGTCTTAGGCAGTGCTGAAGAGGGCTGTGGCAATGTCCAAAAAAAGCATTAAGGGAAACAGGTAAGAGACCAAGTGTGTGTCACAGAGACAACCTTGAGAGGATGCCCACTTTCTGCACTATTCCTGTAAAGTTTGCATTACTTTTGTAAGCACAAACAAACCTTCCAAGAATGTCTTTTTATCCCCTTAAAGTGATATCCTTACGGTTCTGAGCTGTAAATGTTTTATATGAACTTCCCAAGAACAAAGTTCAGCTTGGATAACTGGAGACCCTCTCCCAGTGCACATGCATCTGAGCCGCGGCTAGAGAACACCGGACAGTGCCAGATGAACCGAGTCCAGATGCGGCGGGGAGGCCTGCGGCAGCCCTGCGGCAGCTCCGACCTGCCGATCTGCAGGGGCGCCCCGGCTCGAGGAGCCCCCCACCGAGCAGCTCCAGTGTCTCTCCCTACTCTGGAACCTGCTCCTTTCCTGTACCATACTCCGTACAAATCCTGGCTGGTCTGCTAGCCTCTGTGTAGGTGCTCAGACCATGTCTGGTCCAGACACTTGGCCCACCCTTCAAGGCTCCACCAAGCCTCTCCTCTGGGAGCTCCAGGCATTCTACCACCCAAGTGTCTGCTGGGACCACTCAGCTTACTATGTACACTGTGTGTGTGCGCGCGCGCGCCTGAGCTTCTCAACTGGACCACCAAGCTCTAGGCACATGGCAGAAGGGTTAGGGGAACCCCCACTTCCTAGCAGCCTCTGGAAGGTGGTCTTGTGATTAATGGTCACAGGCCTCCATAGGACTTGGACAGTCCCTTTCCCATTTCAGAGGGATGATTTTTCTCGACGCTTCTTCCTTTGTCAGACCAGTAGGTCACACCTCTCCACAGGTGTCACTGATCCCAGCCTGGGGTACCTGGTGCCACAGCTTGGGCAAGCTCTAACCTTACTGTGACAGAGACCAAGCCTCAGGTTGATTCTACCTGGATCTGGGCACGAGACAGACGATGAGCAGGAGCTGACGGAGGAACAGCGGGCTTATAAACACGGATGCCTTCACCACTCAATAAAGGTCTGTGGCTGTTACCTGACTGTGAAGGTGGGAACTGGGTTAAAGAGGACGTCCTTTCTCGCTTGACAGGAGGGCAGTAATTTCCATCCTCTCGGTCAGAATCTACAGGGAATAATGAGAGAAGGAGGAGGAGAAAATCAGGCTGCTTCCACTTTTACAATCAACATGGTGAAACGTTTTAGAGGTTTCCTCACCTTCTCCACCTTCAGGGCTGGAGCCGCCAGCTGACCTCTGAAACGAGAGCACATGTCAGGGTGGAGGAGAGGGCCATGCTGTCCCCTCATCTAACAGCTCGTGAGCTCTGTAATAAATGGATCCCCAGGGCCAACTGCCTGAGCTCAGCCACCCGAGCAGCAGACGAACTTTCAACCTCACGCTTAGAACTCCCCCATGAACCTTCAGCATTTGGCTGACCAGGCCACGTGCCAAGGAGTCTTCCTAATGATTGAGAGCGCGCTTACAGCCAAGGATCGGTTTCCTTGTTTCTCCACAGGTTACAGCTGACTAGCGTGTCGCCCCCAAATTCAAACCCAGTGAAACTTTATCTGGTCAAAACTCATTTTGCCACAAGCTGGAAAGTGAACCGTTCTCTACTCTGAAGGGCAGCTGGACCGTTTAATTTTAAAATGGTCACCTAACACCAGATTGTGGCAGTTTCCATTCCTTACCCTGGCACATTCCATCGTAAGGAACCCTATTTCATGGTGGGCTATTGTTTCCTGAGCAACTCACAACTTTGACGCCGCAGACCACAGTCTGCTGCAAAATGCTCAGAGCAGAACAATTTAGACTATAACTGGACACGTGCTAAGAGAAGGTGCCTGAAGAATCTCCCCCTTAACAACCTTTAGTTTTAAAATGTGAACAATGAACAATGAAGAGGCCTGAAATGAGTCCCTTCCCAATCCAGGATAACACACGGTCCCTTCCACATACGTCCCTTCTCAGGAACTGGTGTTTCTTGAGAACTAAGCAACCTAAAGCAAATGTGGGGGGCTGGACATCATTCCTCCTGGGGCACTTAAGAGCCAGCAGAGGAGCCAGTTTTCTTAGTTTCAGCAAAGCCCCTGAGGCTCAAGTTCAGCCAAATGACCGCCTGCCTGGAGGAGCCGTGAGAGGGAAATGAGGCAGTGCCTGTGGAAGCGCTTTGCTCGCCGCAGCGCAGAGCGCATGTGGAGGCAGTAACTGTGCTAAACCAAACAGCGGGAGAGGGGGCTGGAGGGACCCTCCTACAGCCTGAGTCGGCTCTTGGTGGTGAGCCAACGTCCTCTCGTTTCCTCCTGAGGGTGAGACCTCAGACTCTGTATCAGGGAGAACGTCCTAAAGCCCGGGCAACACACTTCTCTCACAAAGGGCCAGAAAGTGTTTCCCACTCGGTGGTCCACATGTTGTGTGCAGACCAATCCCTGTCCTGATGGACAGCGCAGGCTGGGACAGTAAGAAAAGGATCCCAACCTGGACCCTCTCTCCTGTGTGGGCCAATGACTTGGACCTGGGTCAGAAAAACTAGCCTGGGCTTCTTGATCCAAGTCTGTGTCCTAAGAGCTCCCTGGAAGTGTCTGTGAAGGGTAGAGGATGACACTGTCCCCAGATATGTTTCAGGGGACTGGAGGCTCAGAGGAGACCATCTATCCGAGTGCTTGGGAAACACAAATCCTTGTAACAACATGGGCTCAACAGTCCTTGGGGCGGCTGTGAATATACTGCTGGGTCCGAGTGGAGCATGAGGCTGCTCAACCTCCCTCTCAAAGGCTTGTAGACCTAGTCACTTTCTCCCAGCTCCTCCAATGCCTAAATGGGAAACCTTGGGCAAATTACCTCACTTAGAAAACAAGGTGCTAGCACCTCTCCCATAGGGAAGGGGCAAGGGGTCAACGGGATAAGCAGGGGAACCAGCTCGGCCCCGCACCTGACTTTCTTATAACTGCTCATAGCTCACACGTGGTGGTGGCCACGCTGCCCCAGCAAGCCCACTTCTGCTGGACATCACACTCTCGGGCAGGGCTTGAGAGCTCAGAGACAGGCGGGAACGGGAGAGCTGGGATGTAGAGTAGTGTTCTGGGGGCGGCCAGGAGGCGAGGGGCCCCTTGGATGGGGGTTAAGAGGAGGGCCCTGAGCCCAGGACTTAGTGTGGGGGCTGAGAGATGTACTCCCACAGAGCTGTGATTCTGCAGAGACCTGGGACTGGGGTGACCCATGATGATAAAGTGCTACGTTATCAGCACACTGGGGTTCCTCTTGGATTGCCCCTTCCTCAGGTGACATCACCGAGGGGCAGGCTCCTGTTCCTCACAGCAGGCCTGGCTCACCCCCAGGCGGTCTCCACCCCTATTCTCAAGTCCCGAGGCCCGGTAGGTCCTGTGGGATCTGGCGCTTCCTGGATTGACTTTCAGGACCTGGAAATGTCACCCTCTCTGGCCTCTGTAGACACTGCCCTCTCATCCACTGATGTTCTTTCCCCCCTCAGGTCTCTTTCTTAAATCCCCATGTGAGAAAAAACCCCTTGGTCCTCTGGCCTCACTGGTCCCTCTTATTCTGATAGTGTGATCTGTGTCAGGGTGCCCTGCTAGACTCTAAGTTCCAGGAGGGGGCTGGCTTGGGATTTGCACAGGAAAAGACTGGGAGAAGCAGCGAAGCCTGCGGTCCTGAGCTATGCACCGGGCAACGGTGCGCATCCTGACCAGTGGCCCTGACAGTTGTCAGGCCTGAGTTTCCTTGTGTTTCCTCGGTTGTTGCAGAAGATATTCCTCTAGCACCTCAATCCCAAGAGGCCTCCACACTTAACTCTCCTTTCCCCGCTGGCCATCTAGGTTAGTTTCCATGTTGTGAATCTTCCAGGGCTCCTTCTGCTATAAATTTCTAATTTCATTCCACCGTGGTTGGAGAAGACTGTATGGCTTCAATCCTTTTAGATTTACTAAGACTGGTTTTGTGGCCTAGCAAGGGTCTACCCCGGAGAACATTCCTCATGCCCATGGGGCGAACGTGCGCTCTGCTAGGTTCTGTGCTGTTCGAGTCCTCGATGTCCCCATCCATCTGCCTGGATGTTCTACTGGTAACGGAAAGTGCAGTACGGAGGTCTCCGACTGTTATGATCAAACGTCTATTTCTCCCTTCAGTTCTGCAGTTTGTGCTTCCTGTATCTTGGGGCTCTTTCAATGACACCTAAGTTTCTTACCTCTGCCAAAGACACTCCAAAACCTCAGGCATCTGGGTCTCCTTTTGAATTTGAATGGTGCTAGGAGCCTCTCTCCAGACCAGTGGCTGGGGCCTCTGGAGCTTCAGCTCCATCTCTCAGGGTCCAGGACTGCTGACCAGGACACTTGGTCCGTCTGGCACCATCGCTCTGGCCACCATACCCCAGCCTCCGTCTCCTTCCTGTTTTCCGAACATGTCGGCACCGTTCCTGCCCCGGTGTGCCTTTGCCGTGTGCTACTCCCACGGCCTGGAACGCTTTTCCTGCAGGTCTGCTCACTGAGACCTCCCGGAGGCCCTTCCTGACCACCTCCAGGGGGAACCTGTGCTCATGGCTACGTCACTGCCCAGAAAGTAGAGACAGTTCTTCTCCACCCCACCCTCCAGCCTCTCCTGGACCTCTACCCGGTTTTGTGTATCCCAGTTGGAAATGATCTAATGTGTCTGTCTGCTCTGTCTCCAGCTGTGAGAAGGCACTGCCCTGTCTGTTAGGCTCACAGCTCATACGTGTAACACTCTGAACACAGCGCACAAAACCTCACTGTACAAACAGAGCCCGCATCCTCCACTGCAGCCCCTTAGGTAACCCGGAGAAGAAAAGGTGCCTGGCCAGACACGATTCACACACTCCTAGTCCCCTGACTCTAGGAGACCCTCAAATCCATGTCCCAAGTCTCTTGAAGAACCATCCTGTGGGCATGCGGTGGGCCTCTTGGTCCTGGAAGAGGTGGGAGGAAATGGCCTGGGAAGGACAACACAGGAAACCTCCCCTGAGAGGAGAACCTTACAAAAACTGCTGGAACCTTCTGTGGGGCTTGAAATAGCTGAGATACAATGAAGAAACTGACACTGGCAACTATTTTCAAGAGAAACTAGTACAAGGAAGCAGGAAGACAGAATATGAAGTCAAGTCATTTCTGCATGCCTCTGCATATGCCAACTCTTCCAGAAATCCTCCCCAGCTGTCATGTGAGGAGCAACCTGCTGCTACTCCCTGCTGGAGAAGGGCGGAGCTTGCTGTCTGGCAGGAAAGGATTTAGGGCACAGCAACTCCCGCTTCCAACCACGGCCCCCTACCCCACACAAGTCAAATGCGACCTCTACCAAGACTTCCCTGGGATGACAGTCTGGTGTTTGGGACCTCTTCTGTGTTAAAGCAATCTGGGGGAACCCCTCACCCCAACCAAAGGAGTGGCTACACAGGGGTCAGTAGAGAGCAATGCCCAGGACTCCAACTTCCTTGCCCCAGAAGTCTGCAGCCCCAAATTCAGGAACCACCACTACAGACACTCACTGAGGAGGGTTCTAAGAGCAAGTTTTCAGGATTCGTGCTTCTTGGGGAGGAGTGAGGACCGGAGTAGGCTGTGGAAGCGCCATTTCTTCTGCTGCCTCTCCCCACACTAGAACCCACCTCTGCGAGAATGGCACCTGGAGGACGCTCGGGTCAACACCGACATGGGACATCATGACGAAAATATGCCCAACTGACACTGACGTAAGGAGGCTGAAGAGGAAGTAGAGCAAAAATAACCCTTCAACTGATCTCTCTGGTGCCAGGACATAAGAATGCATACAGCAGGCTCACAAAGATGGGAAAGCCCTCTGAGACGGCAGAGGGGCCGTGGGCTGGCAAGCAGGCCAGCCTACAGAGACCCGAAGGAGCTGCTCACCACATGCTTCAGGGTGGCACGGCCTGGCTAGCTGGCGGGGGTGGGCAAGGGCTGTCCTATCCCTTCTAAAGCCACTGGGTCTTCTGGGGACGCCACTCATTCTGGGAGGTAAGTCCCTGTCCCAAGTATAAATCAGGGGTAATGTCTAACTCAGGATGGGAATGCAAGCATGAGAAGTTTCTGTTCTTTGTATAAAGAATGAAATAATAAAGATTACAATCATTACGATTATTAAGTGTTACCCTCCTCCCAGGAACCATTGCTCTTGTGAGGCTGGCTGGTGTGGCCTCAAGGAAGGCACAGGTGCCAGTCCAGGGCAGGGGATGGAACAGGGGACTGTGTCTCAGAAGCTGACACAGACATCGGCACACAGGTAGTATGCAAACACGAAGGATGCTGCCTTCCAAGACCAAGTCAGAAAACTCTGGACACCATTTGGCCTGCCTGGCCTCGGTGACTCTGGTCTGGACTGACCAGTTAGAAAGCCCAGCTGGCTATGGAAGGAGTCCCCAACCCCTCAGCTGCAGGCCGGTACCGGAACCAGGCTGTGAGGGAAGCTTGCCTGAGCTCTGCCCCATCCCCTACCCTCACCTGGTCAGTAGAAAGACCGGTCCCTGATGCCAAAAAGGTTGGGGACCACTGCGCTATGGGATGAAAATCAAGTAAGAGCAGGGCCTGCTGATTGCGTACTCTACACTAACTATGGGCCAATTCAATGCTGTTTATTCTGTGACTGAGGCAACCAGCTCAGAAATTCTTACCAAAAAGACACATTGAAAAAAGAAAACAGAAGTGGCCTCCAAAGACATGAAATAGGGCGGGGGTGGAACAAAAGTCAAACCCAGTGCAGGAGCTGGAAGATGAGGGACGCTGTCCAGCCATGGAACTTGTTCCAGGATCCATCTAAGCTTCCTGGTGGGTCTCATAAACATAGTTTAGGCTCATCAGCGTCTTGGCCTAAAGCTTCAGTCCAGCAGACTTCAGCCAGGCTTGGAGTAAGCATGAAGCCGCTCGCTTCCTCCAGATCAGAGAACTGAATCTGAATGTGGTTTGGTCTTTTTCAAGCTGCCTACTGAGAGCCAGGAAGTCTGATATACAGACTTTTCTCTAGTACTGAGTATTCCATGGCTAGAGTGCTGATGAGACCGAGAAACGATCAGGGCCCTTTTTAATGATACAGCGAGCCACCATTTACCATAAAGGGCCTGTGCTTTATAGCCCCCTGAGGGATCGTGGCACAATGAAGAGACAGAGCATGATGGATGAGACTTGCTGAGTAACATGTGGGCGGTTTCCTGAACTGCGATGTGGTACAGAACAAGATCCAAATTTGTTCTGATGCAAAAGCAATGTGTTAACCAAGGGAAAATCAGCCTGAGAGGCTGGGATTGGGTTCCTCTGCCTTGACTTATGTTCGAATTGACCTACGAACCGAAGTGTACTTTGCTTGAACGTGCCTAGTCAGTGGGGAAAGCCAGCTGACAGGAGCCATTAGCAACCTGCCAGGGTTTTCCCTGCTGACAGCCCCACGGAGCAAGCCCTGGGTGAGCCCTCAGAGCTGTCCCCAAATGATATGATGGTGGCGGCGCTGCTGGTACTTCAAATGGAACTGAGGATTCCTCTAGTTATGAGTGCTGAAACAACGCATGTGTGTATGTCAGACATATGGCCTTTAATGCTGTAACGCTCCATTCATAAACCACTCCCCCAGGTCCTGGCTACTTCCCATGGTGACTTCACAATCCATTCTGAGGCTCCCTGCCAGAACACGTGCTTGATTTGCCAGTCTGGGGACCATGTGAATTTCTCAGAATTAGAGCCTTCAACCCCAAATCCACAAGAACAGAGGAGAGTTCCTCAGATATCAACATTTGGACTGGCCACAGGTGGGAGGTAAGGCCCCTGCGGGACACTTCCTGCACTGGACTCTTAGGGAGCGGGGACCCACCGGTTTTACCAAGTGGGCACTAGAAGTAGGAGGGGCCAACACAGCCCGCATGCCTTTGGAAAGTAGCTGCCATGACATAACCATCTGCTAATCTCAGCTGAAAACTGTTAACCTTCCCAGCTGATGTTGCTGTAAGTTGTGTTTTTCAAACTACGCAGCAGCAGAAGGCTTCAGAGCCTCTCGGGCAGATCCGTGCGAAGGTCATCTGTTCTCAGGACACTGAGAGTGCGATATCCTGTGCGCGTGAAGGCTGAAGACACAATAACTAACAACACCCAACTCAGGGGGAGCTTCCAGGGGCTGCTCTGCCCCAAACCAGAAAAGTACTCACCTCTTAATTACTGCCCTGTCGGCTCTCATGTGAGGGCTGTGAGGCTAGGACACTGGCCTAAATGCCTCCTGGCTGGAATCTCTACTGAGCTTCTGAGTACAATACCCTAAACCCACAGCTACGCCAGAACAACCGCCTCCCTGCTGCTCCCCAACCATGATAAAAACTGTTTCTTCTTTATCCACCACACACTGATTCCTCCAAAGTGTTAAAATATGACTCCAATCTCACCTTGGCTGACACGTGGCTTCTTCCTGCGTGGCCTAGGGTTTGGTGCCTGTAACTGAGTTCCAATGGTTTCTTTAAGAACACAGGGTACTGGTAATGCGACACAGGGATTGCTAAAGGCCTGGGCTTGTGATGCCCTGGAAAGCTGCCTGGCGTTCTGTGAGGCCGAGTGGGGTCCTCTCTTTTCTTGTTAAAAGTCATGGCACTGGGGGACTTGGTCATGAGGTATCTATGGAGTTTTCAATCCTGAATGTAGATGATGTTTACCTTTCCCAACTTATCAAACTCCAAACACTCAAGACATTTCTTGTTCTTGAGAGTTCGCAATCTTCTCCACCTATAATCTTCAAAAGCCTTCTTAATACAAAGATAAAAGGTTCAGGGGTTCCCTCTGGATTCAAAGAAGAGTCTTCTTCCTGCTTTGATTGAAGACAAGCAGCTCACAGCCTCAACAATCCAGACACAATCAGTCTTGCAAAGCAATCTGTTGGACACTTCCTCTTCCTACCAATTGAGGAAGCCAGAGCTCCTCGTGTTTCTAACACACTGAACTCACTGAACTCGAAGGCCCAGATTCAGGGAGAAGAGAAGGAAAATGGGGTCGAAATTGATTTGGAGGGTTCTACCCACTACTCACTTCACTTTTGACCCCCTGCGTCTCTCTTTTCAGGAAACAGGACTGCCTTTTTGCTATGGGTATTTCCCCAACTAGACAAGTCTCCTTTGTAAAGAGGACCTAATTTTCCCTGACTTTTTGGCAGCATGAATTAAAGAGAGCTGGAGGGATCTTGGTCTTCTTTTCAGTTACCATCAGTTGCTGATAATCCAGAGTCTAAATCTGAGGGACCCGGAGGGGTAGGGCTGGTCTGGGTTGGGACCCCTGGGCCCTGGAATGCTGGGTGGAGGTGGACTTACCCCTGCCAGTTCTCGTGGAAAAGGAGGAAGATGGGCTTCAGGAGTGCTGGCTGAAGCGCTAGCAGGGGCAGGAGGCTCTAGAGCATGCTCACCAGCTGACTCGGGGTGACCTGTGCCACGGTCGGGAGCCTCAGCCTCCCCCCGAGGCTCCTCTCCCGAATCCGACAAGTCTTTTTGCTCTGCAGAGGACTGGGAGCAAAAAAGACAATTTTCCTTCAATGTAAATAAAGGCTGCAACATGGGGCAGGGGACGGGGGTGGGATCAAAGGGCTAGAGATGGCTCAAACTCCAGCAGTTCCTGCCCTCCTGGGCTTCCTGCCCAGGAGGATGGGCCAAGGAAGCTGGCACGAAGTGTTGCTGTGCAGGAGCTTTAAGGTGTGCAGGAAGCCTGGACTTTCATTTTCAGAAGTAAAAGGAGGCCTGGCACAAAGCTACACTGCTTATGGGCCACGAGTGAGGAAAAACACTCCTGGTGACGAAAAGGGGGGCGGTACTGGTATCAGATGGGCACAGGAATGATTCCATGTGAATAACACATCTCCTCAGAGACACTGATGAGGGAACTGCCCTCAGCACCATTTCTGTCTGCTGGGAAAGGCAGGGAGGCAGGCTTGGGACACCACACAGATACAGGATGGGGCATCCAGAATCAAAGGCTTCTGCACCTCACTCTAGTTCTAGCACCTTTCAACCTGTGCTGCTTAAACCTGAGATGAAGGAAGAGTTTCTCATCTCCAGGGGTGCAGGCGTGGAGTGGCCAAATGAGCCCACAGAGATACAGAGAGCTGGTTTTGTACTGGCGAAAGGGTGGGAGCCACTTCCCCACCCCCGCCCCCGGCCTGGACTTGCCTCAGGCTCAGCCCGAACACCTAGGGCAGGGGTTTATCTGGAAAACAGGTAAGAGAAGGCTGACTCCAGATGTCTTTGTCCTTGAAAGCACAACACTCCTGGCACTCTTTGAGCTGGTTCTTGGGTCTCTGGGGGCTGGGGGGCTTTTGGGGGGTTGAGAGCTCCGTGGCCAAGACTCTTTTCTTGAGAAATGGGTTATAAAACTGGCATCCTGGAACACAGGGGTTCCGGTCCTGCTTGGCGTCACCAGCCACGACACGAACCCATTTCTCCGACTTTGTGAACCAGGGCTACCCTGCCTCCCTGCAGACACTGCCGCATTTCTTCTAAGTGACTAAGATCTCTTTAGACAGGGTGTGGGGGGCTATTTTTTAACATGTGAGCTTGTTGAATTAGAGGAACTATATATGAAGAAGATTTAAAAGAACTTTCAAATATTTTTAGGAAAGCAATAGCAACACCATGCTAACTCACGTGCATATCTAAAAAGCCACCGAGATCAACTCTTCCTGTCCAGGGGGGACCCACAGACACAAAGGCCTTCCTTTCCAAGTTGCTCCTCCAACCTGTCAGGGGTGCTGAGGTCGGTCCGTGCACTGGGTGGCTGCTACTTTATGGCTACAGATCGAACACCCGACAAAAGAAAATTAAACCCCAAGCTCCGTGGGAAACTGCCTGTCTCTCTAATTCGAACCACTTGGATTCTTTTTTAAATCCCTGCTTTTAGAACATAAAATGCCCTCATGGCATGGTGGACTCAAAATGAAGTCTAAACTGGAGCACCAGAAAGAAATACAAATTCTATCCCAGCATTTTCTCCTTAGGTCTGAGTGTTTCTGCTGGACAAGAAAAGCTCTAAAGAACCAAGAAAGGGTCTGCAGTTTTCAACGTCTGTTAAAGCCAGGCATCAGATCCAGACCCTCGATCACAGGTCATAAAATATATGTAGCTGACAAAAGTAACAAAAAGAAAAAACAAAAACCAAAAACGCGCACACAGGATATACTTGTCATACCAACAATAAGCTTCAAAATTAGGTCTAAATATACTATATACACCGTTTCCAGCAACACTGGACTTTCTGCTCAGAAGCATTTCTACAACTGCTTTCTGTCTTTTTACCAAATGGGCACTATCCTGCCAGTACAACCTCAAAGCCATCCCCCTTTAGGTTAACACGTTTGGAAGATAAACTAACTGAAAAAAACATTTAATCATTACAAACAGTAAGAGAGCCTACAGAATTCTTTTCACGTTAAGAAAAACTGCCTCCACTCAAGGCAGTTAATAAAAGGTTCAGTTTTGCTTTAAAAACACAAATGCACATAAATGTAAGCATTTCACAAGGAGCGCCACCTTGAGGAAGCCTGGAGACATGGGAATAAGTAAAGGCTGCATTAGGACTGCTGTTCAGACTGCGGAAGGTTTCTCTCTAACACAGGACAACGGGGGACTGTGACACCACCAGCAGGCCAGTAACACGGGTTTGTAGTTTGCTGTGAATGCAGATTGTCAACGGGACCAACAGTCACTGTCGTGTGGCTTTACCATCAGACAAAAACACTTAAGGCTGGCAGAGTAGGTTTCCCCCCCCTCATTTCTTTGTATTTTATCTCAGTCATGATTCCGTAACAGCTGGGCCTGCGGTGTGCTCTCTTTACAGGAGGAGGGTGGGCACAGGGGCTCTTTGAAGCACAGACCAGTGGGTGGTTTAGAGATTTACTGACAAGGAAGTTAATGGTCCCACAATGACAATGGGACTATTTGATCTTTGTGGATCAAGAAGTGGCTCAAAAAATAGCTATAAGGGACGTTGTGGTGACAATTAGGACAATTTGTATACTGGACGAGGCTTCTGAATTAATGATCTTTTTCTTATGGGTGACAAAAGGCATCGGGGCCACAGACGGGAATGACCCTATTCCTAGGAGACACCTGCGTAAGTCAGACGGGCACAAATTACAGCCGTATGCTTCCCGCATCAACAGAGATGTGAACAGGGAAGCCGGGTGAAGGGTGGATATCCGTGTCCTCAGTACTATTCTTTAACTTTTCTCAGAATTTGAAATTTTCGAAATGAAACATCAAAGATAAAAAGAGGGAAAAAAGTTTGCTCAGAAGAAAACAGCTCCAACAGCTTTACAGCCGCTCTGCTTCTGCAGTGTGAGGAGGAAGTGGGTAGAAAGAGAGAATGAAACGGGAAGGTTCTCAAACTCTCGTTTTTGTCGGAAGTATTGTGGCTGCTCCTCAAGGGTCTGCCTTTCCATCTTCCTTGAAGTGGGAAGTCAAGGGAAACAAAGCAAGCTGAGTCCCTGTTTACTTCCTGCCTTACTCTTGAGCTGTCATAGCAACAGGGGAAAAAAGGAAGATTCTGTGTCCATTTGGCCACCGTCTACCTGACAGCTCAGAAAGCAGCCCTAGAAGACATTCACAAAGGCTCCGCCTGCTTCTGCTGTTAAAACAGAGATTTCCCACACCCTTTTGGTGATCTTGTGACAGAAGTGGAGAGCTGACCTCTGAAGACCTGGAGATCAATTATTTTTAGAAGTCCATTAGAGTTGGCTTTAAGTCAGTATTTTGATAAGAACTACATTTGCACACTTTAAAATGAGGATGACCACCCGCCACTCTTGTGGTTCAGTGTAACCATTTACATAATTTCCATCAACTTTATGAAGGTAACACATGTGAGTTATCCTTTGAATTTCAAAGCAACAGAACCAGAGGGAAAGTGGGGTGCGGGGGCAAGTAGAAGAGGGTAAAGGGGGATAAATGGGGATGGGAGGAGACTTGAATTGGGGCAGTGAACACACAATATACAGATGATGTATTGTAGAATTGTAGGCCTGAAACCTTTATAATTTTAGTAACCAATGTCACCCCAATACATTCATAACAAAGTAAACAAAGAAAAAAAAAAAAACCCAAAGCAGCAAAACCACCTCAACTGTGAAAATACTGAAACAAGAATTAGTAATTTTAAAAGCATTTTAAATTTAGCTGAACGAATACGACATTTTAATTTTGCATCCTGTTGGTTGTCCAAAAGTCCTCAGGTTTAAAGACTTATTAATTCCCTTTTTAAAAAAGATTTTATTTTCAGAGAGAGAGGGGAAAGGAGGGAAGAGAAGAAGAGAAACTTCAGTTGGTTGCCTCTTGCGTGCCCCCAACCGGGGACCTGGCCCGCAACCCAGGCATGTGCCCTGAAAGGGAATCGAACCTGAGACCTTTCAGCTTGCAGGCTGGCGCTCAGTCCACTGAGCCACACCAGCCAGGGCAGAATTATTAATTTCTATTGTTCATTTAAATCCAGAGTTGACACACTTTTTTCAGTAAAGGGCCAGATATTAAATATTTTTGACTTTGCAGGCCTATAGGGTCTGGGTCCTAATTACTTCACTCTCCTGTTAAAATGTGAAATCAACCTCAGCTACAGTGAAAGAGATGGGCCAATAAAACTTTATTTACAAAAATGGGTGGTAGTGCTGGGCCTTAATCTGCTGACCCGTTTTTAAGCTAAAAGTGATTCAAAAGATGATCATAATAAAATTCAAAATTCTAGAAAACCTGATTTAATGGAAAACCCAAGAAGAGACTTTTACATCTGTAAGAGAAATGGAATACATCCATTTTAAAAAGCTGGCAGAAACACATCAGCCCTTCAGTGACTGACCCTTTTCCAAAGGAAGGATGATTAAAAACATAGGTAATTAAGCGGCCAGGACTGTGCCGCTGTTGCTCTCAGCCAATACCCCTGGTTTCCCTCCATGCCAGAGCCCCGGGGAGAGGAGACAGCAGAGGTTGATGTATCTTTAAAATACTTCCTGGAAAAGAAGAAAAACAAAAAGTGGGAAGAACACTTCCTCAGGTTTTGTGATTCTTCAGCAGAGCATTAATGATGGAACATTCAATGTGACAATGAGCCTGGTAAAGGCCCTGCCCATACAGAAGACTCTGCTCAGTGCGAGGGGGTGTGGGTGGAGGGTTTTAGGGTAACTCCCTCTCCCTCCTGTCCCCTCCATGCACAAGCTCTCTTCCTGGCAGAGTATTTGAACAATTTCCAGAAAAACTGGGCTGCACAGAAAGAAAAGTCTGGCCTTTCTGATCAGACCAAGGGAGAAAGTCTACAAGCAGTAGAGCCCCGAAGTGCCAGACCAGCAGTCCCCAGCCTCAGAGCTGGCCACCCCGCTGCAAGACTGGGGATCTGCCAGAGCACCTGGCCTGTGGATCCCCAGCCCTGACCCAATTCTCAAATGCTCTTATCAACAGATTGCAAATGGATTTCACAACACACCTGCTCACTCTGAAATCTTGCTACGGGCATTAAACGACCTGCTGTCTTGCCTGGGCCATGGGTGGGGAGGGGTCACCCATTTTTTGACAACTAGAGGGAGTCCTCATACAAGCTCGGGAGGCATCCCCACAGAACATCAGCTAAGTCCGGATACAACCACAACCTTCCGACTGATCTGTCAGACAGGGATGTAAACCTGTGGCTTTAAGACAGACAACGTGTGACGGCTGGGATGAGACTGAGGTGCCGGCGCATCACTGTGAATTAGGCAAGGCATTTCCAGCAACAATTCGATCAAGACATTTAAGACCCAAGAGGGGAAAGCAACCCAACAAAGAAGAATGGTATATATACAATGCAATCCAACTAATAAACTAATAATTATTCTAAGTGCACTTATGCCAAGTTGGTTAGGGCCAGAAATCCCCCTGAAATCTTTAATTAAAGGTCCTATTTCCCCCCCATAACCACCATTTGCTCTCTCCCAGCTTTTCTCTCCCTCCCTGTCCCTCCTCTTCTCCTTCCTTCTACCTTTTCCTCCTACTCTTCTCTCTCCCACTGGTTTTCCTAACATACAGCAGTATTTCTAAATCAAATAATGCAGAATGAGAAGAAAGCTTTCTACTGCCATGTTTTAAAGGAGGGTCTCTGAACCCTTTCCATACACACTTATCTCAACTCTCGCCACAGTAACCTAAAGCCACCGAACCGTTGTCCTCCAAGCTCCATGTGAAAGCTTAAAGGGCAGAAGCATCCTTGGCCGTGTGACCTAGGGAGAGAGGTCCCTGGGAGAAAACAAATGTGAAGAGAGAACATACCAGCCCCTTACCTTTTGTCCTTTATCCTTCTGAAACACAAAGACGGGCGGAGCAATGGCAGGCTTTTCTGTAAAAAGAAAAATTGGTGTTTTTCCCCCCAACACTATTTCATACAGCAAACAAAACTGCATGTCTGTAATAAGTTAAAAACAAAAAACAAACCCAATATAAAACCAGTAACTCCAAAGAACATCAAACTGCTTAGAAAACAGCTTTGTGACACGGAGGCGTGGGGTGTTCAGTTCGTGACAATGCGACACTTAACGGCAGGGCACGTGTGCTTATTACACACCACTAAACGGGCTTGAAGACTCACTCCAAACAGGCTGTGTCACTGATGAGGGGAGAGCGCCGAGGAGTGTGCTGAGCCGCAAGGCGTGGAGATGGCAGCTATTCGGCGCCACCAACAGTGGCTTTGAAGAAATTTTGTGCAGAGAAGTCAGATCTTTATGTGGCATCTCCTGAATTTCAAATGCTGGAGACTAGTTTAGGTTTTTTATTTTTACTTTTCTCAAATCTGCAGGCCAGTTGAGGCCGGGGGCAATCAGTCTGTAACCTCTGCCCACGTGGCTCATGCTCTTTGGAGAAGCCCAGCCCAGCGATCCACCTGATTCTCTAAGTGAGCAGCCATGAACAAAAAAATAATTTATGGAGTTGCAAAAGTCTGAGAGTCCATCTTGCATGGGCACTGAAGGAAAATACCCTTTGAGATGTCCTGTCACATGACGGGACCAGGACTGTGCCGCCGTTGCTCTCAGGCAATACCCCTCGTCTCCCTCCAAGGCAGCCCAGGAGGCCTCTGCGCCCAGCCAGGGAGGCCGGGCCCTACCCATGGAGGAGGCCCCTTGTCCTCTCGGGCAGGGGCGTGGTGGCCCTGGGTGTGCCCATGAACCCTGGGGGTGTGCCCAGGGCCTCCTCCAGCATTCGAGGGCGGAGAGTGCATGGGAAGCCAGGGGAGCCATGCCACTGCAGGGCGCCGGCACAGTCCTGCTGTCACAGAGCCGCCAGTCGGGGAGGCGGAGATCGACCAGGAATTTACGTTCACACAGCTTTGCCCCAGCAGGACTGCTACGCAGGAGGGACACACGGTTCACAGTTCCAAAGAGAGGTCACGTGGGGGCACTGGTAAGAGTGTCTGGTTCAGAGTGTCAGGAAAACATCCCTGAGAAAACAGTCTGCTGTGTTGAAGTCTCAAGAAAAGCCTGGCAGGGAGAGTGGCAGGTGTGAAGTCATGGAGCCCAGGGGTGGATGGTGGCCATGCCGAGAATTTAGGAAGGCACGGTGGTTGGTTTCAGTTTAAAGAGAGAACAGCCATGGGGGAGACGGCAATACGGGGAGACCAGTTTGGAGGTGACAGTGATCGCCTACAATTAAAATTGGGTGAAAGCAAGGTTTGAGGAGGAAAACGGAGAAGATTGAGACAATCAAACAGACCCTGTTCCACTCCCTATCCTCCAAAACTGTCCCTCCATCGAGAGGCAGGACAAACACCAGTCTCAACCTTGGGACAATGGCCTACTGACGGTGACCGTTCCCTCTGCCGTGCTCACTGAAGCTGCACCGTACCAGAGTCAGGCTCTCTGCCACAGTCCTCAGTGTGCACAGCCCACGGTGAACATGGGGGAATGACATGCACGAGATCAAAGTGCTAAAGGGAGGAAGGTGGCAGGCTCCCCACGAAGGCTCACATGCTTCCCGAAGCAGCCATCTCCTGGCACAGTGTGGAGCTGCTGCCCGACAAACCAGGATGGACAGATGAATGAACATGCCTGTGCCAGGTGATAAATGAGAGCAAAGGAACGCTGGAGGGACACTGGAGATGGCAGCAGCTTATCCACACACGTCGACCAGGGGGAATCCCGGAAACTTCCTGGTGCTGCCCTATACACCACAAGCCCAGCATCAGGGGCTGGCGGAGCAGGCCCCGGCCTCCCTTCTGTGTTCAACTCCTGGCCAGCAGCAACGCACTGGGGTATACAGGAACCTATGGTTTTGGCTACCCCCTCCGAATTTTCTTTAGGAAACCACCTCCCCCTGTCCCCCAAGTTTCAGATGGAGCCTAGCCCTGGCTCCAGCCTCAGGAAAGGTACTGCATGCCCTGACCCCAGGGGATACAGTGACGTGAATAAGGCCAGGCTGCTGATGGTGAATGACGCTCAGGTCCAGGGTTTTTGTTGGAGCTAGTGGGGAAGGGGAGTTCTCTCTCTGCTGAGCTGGTGGGAGGTAACCCTGAGGCTGCCAGCAGTGGCCTGTCATTACAAGGGATGCTGGATGAGGGCCAATCCAGCGGGAAGCAGGGAAGGAAACTAAATCCTGCTGCTGGAGGCCCAGGGTCCAGCAGGCCCAAAGCTACCCCTTCCCCCCTAGCCGCCAAAGACTTTTCAGCTAAGCCAACAGATGCTGATTTTTCCTCAATGCATTCCGGATTTCTGCCCCTTGTCTCTAAGGGCCCCCAGCCTGAGAGTGGGCCTTGCTGCTGCAGACTTCCTTAAACACACACTGCTCCCTACAAGAAACCATGGGCTGGCCTCACAGGGATCTTTCTCTTCACAGCAGGGATCACCATGTATTTATGAGTTTATGGTCTATCTCCCCTACTAAGATGTCAACTAGAGGAGACAGGAGACTGCCTGGTTCCCCCTCACTGTCTGTGGTGTGAGAACAGTACTTGCACCCTGCAGGGATTCAACAAATACCTGGTAAAAGGATGAGCAAGGGGAGAGGACACTAGAGGAAATGAATGCCAGGCTAGTAAGGAAGGGCCAGACGAAGAGAGAACCATTTGGATGGCAGAGGAAGAGCTTTCTGGTCTGCAGGGACATAGAAGGGCAACCAAGGGAGGTCTGGGCCAGCTGGGGGCCCTGGGACAGGACAGGACCACGTGGCAGGGTCCAGGGGTAACCGGGAGAGGGCCCATCTGAAGGAGGACCCATTCTGTACTGCCACTGGCCCGTTGCTCAGCTGGGGGCAGAGGGAGGTCACCGAGGGGACCATGGGGGTCTGAGCTCTGAAAGTTGCCGCACAAAGAGCGGAAGCACCAGGTGAGATCCAAGCAGATCCACCCTTATGAACTCCCAGCAGCAGTTCCTCCACCCACACCAGCCACCACCATCAGAGTGCAGACCTTCCTTCTTGGCCTCTGCTTAAGGGCCCCCTTAAGCCTGGCTTTTGCAGAGCAGCCACAACCACTGGTGTGAAACGCATGCTTCAAACTCTGCGTTGTCCTCCCCGGCTAGGGTTGGAGCCCCTTCAAACAGGACACCCCCTACCTGACCAGTATGGTGGCTCTGACCCTCGTGCACCCCATGTTTCTGTCACACTTCTGGAGTTCTGCCTGGTTTAATCCCTCTGCCTAGAACACACTCCAGCCTTCTCTTCCACGGTCAACACTCATTCATGATGTAGATATAGACACCTTCTCCTTCAGGAAGCCCCAGCTTGTTTATTTACTTTTATTAAAATTTTTTCTTTTATTGATTCTAGAGAGAGGGAAAGGGAAGGAGAAAAGAGAGGGACAGAAACAGGGATCAGTTGCCTTTTGCACACACCCTCACTAGGGACCGAACCTGCAGCCCAGACACGTGCCCTGATTGGGAATCCATCTTGTGACCTTTGGGTTTGCAGGATGATGCCCAACCGAGGCACATGAGCCAGGGCAAGCCCCCAAATTAAACAGTGCTCCCAAGAATACTCTGGCTTACATTCTGCATGGATCATACCGAGGCTACCTACCGGTAGGGGAGACTGAGAAACTCCAGACACAGCATCCAAAAGAGCTCTGCACCTCAGCCTGCCACCCGATGGGTACCATGTAAGAATCATACAATAAATGTTTGAACTAACCCCACTCTGTACTTCTTCACTTGCGTAACACTAGCTGCTACATAATCACAAATACCTATTAAGCCCTTACTCTGCGCAAGGCATCACGGGGAAAAATGAGAACAGGAAGTTGGGGGCAGAAATCTTTAGGCTAAAACATCTGATTAGAAGAGAGGAGTGTGTCTGTACACAAGGCCCAAAGCTCACAGCGCACTGTTCATCTGGTTGCTGGCAGCGTCTACTCCTGCAACAGAAGCTCTGCAAGGGCGAGGCCTCTGTTGTGTTCACCTCAGAATCTTTAGAGCCACACACGAAACACATGATCAACAAGCAGCTACAGAGTGAATGAAATCTCCTTCATTGCAAGCACGACTGAGGAGGAAAGGGCTCTGGCAGCCCACCTTGGGTCCCACTGGGACCCCCACTGACGGTAGGTTTGGCAGTCATGATAAGACCAACCACGGCACTAAAACGTGCCAGTGAACTTCAGTCAGTCAGTTCGCCACCAGAAACACAAAGCACCAGAGTACATTTCATTTCTGCTCAGCTCCAAAAGAGCCAGGAGTCCATAAGCTGCCAAATTAGTACTGATATTACAAAATGACAATAGGCACGCACCCGCTCCGAGTAGGATGGCCTTGCCTTACCGGTGTAGCCACAGATGGTTTTTTTTTTAACTGCCCCCATCACCAAATAGCTTCTGGTTGTCAAACAGTGAGGCTTCTCTATGACCTGCCTGAACTCCCAGCCTGGCCTTTCTTTCACAAGTGAAGGGAAAACCACTACTAGAAATTTCTAGAGATCCAGGCCACTGCTGTGACCTAAAATATTACAATGTTAATCAAATGAAGACTATTCTTACAATAGCCAAGTGTTGGAAGCAACCTAAATGCCCATCAGTAGATGACTGGATCAAAAAACTATGGTACATTTACACAATGGAATACTACGCAGCAGAAAGAAAAAAAGAACTACTAAACTTCATGACGGCATGGATGGAACTAGAGAGCATCATGCTAAGTGAAATAAGCCAGGGGGCGAAAGACAAATACCATATGATTTCACCTATAAGTGGAACCTAACCAACAATACAAAGATGCAAGGAAAATAAGACCAGCAACACTGAAAGGAAAAGAAACCAACAGAGACAAGAGGGAAGGAGGGAGGTGGGGGCGGGGGGAAAAGGAAGGGAAGGGGGAAAGTCAAGGAACATATAGCAAGGACTCATGGACAAAACCAAAGGGG